GAAAAGCTGCACCACTTAAAATAAATTACTGTAAATATTAGAAAAGCTGCACTACTAGAAATAAATTAACAAATACTAAAAAAAAAATGCTGCACTGCCTAAAATAAATTACCATAAATACTAGAAAAGCTACACCACTTGAAATAAATTAACATAAATACTAAAAAAAATGCTGCACTGCCTAAATTAATTTACTGTAAATACTAGAAAAGCTGCACCACCTAAATTAAATTACTGTAAATACTAGAAAAGCTGCACCACCTAAATTAAATTACTGTAAATACTAGAAAAGCTGCACCACCTAAATTAATTTACTGTAAATACTAGAAAAGCTACACCACTTGAAATAAATTAACATAAATACTAAAAAAAATGCTGCACTGCCTAAAATAAATTACTGTAAATACTAAAAAAGGTGCACTGCCCATAAAAAGCTGCACCTCCTAAAACAAATTACCGTAAATGCTAGAAAACCTACACCAGCTAAAATAAATTACTGTAAATATTAGTAAAGCTGCACCTCCTAAAATTGTTTTGTCTTGAACTTTTTTGAATTCAGTGCCTAAAATATTACCGTAAATATGTGAAAGCATACAAAAGTAACTAAATATAAATATGTATACAGTTTTTTTTTTATTTTTTACATATGTTAATTTTTCTAGTTTATCAACGGATCTGGGACCAGAAGAGACTGTATTTGGGTCCAGGTCCAGTTAGCGGTCCACCACATGTAACCTTGAGTCTAAAGAATTTGCACGTTTTTGTTGTACAATGTATTTTTGAAGGGACACGAAAACATCCTGTTTTATTTTGGTAGTTCAGAACAAGTTTGTTATCAAGTATGCACATATTTGGTGATGTTGTGTTGATAAAACTCTTTAAACGAAGTCTCTGAATGAGTCAAAGTGGACATTTGTCTGTGGGTGAACGATGTGATCATTCAAACAGGATACAAGCAGAATTACACAACTTTTTTATTTTTCTGAACTATTTTAGTCACTGTCATGTGACGCCTTTTAGCTTTGCAACCCAGTAAAATAATTTTGGTGAACTTTCCCCAGAAGGACATTCTGTTTCTCGTCTCTCTCTCTCTGCGTTCAGTGGACGAGGATTTATTGAAGCTAACATCTGGACAAACTACCGTAAAACTTTTGCACTTTGTTTATGGTAAGGAAACTTACTTTAAAGTTAGTAAACTAATACACCCATTTGCTTCTTGTGTGTGTTTACTTGGATTTTATGACATCTTTCTGGTATTATCTCCTACCTTGACCATACTGGACGTCCTCATGGGGACCAAACCCCGGTCCTAAAACAGTGGAACCTGGTTTTTGGGTTCAGGATCAGGTTTAGAGTTGAGATTAGGGTCAAACCAAACAAACACGAGTCCATTCATTACATTTTCTGTTAGTTTTATAGTTTTACTTCTGCTTCCAAAAGTCCCTCTGTAGACAGAAATGATTGTTTCCAATAATAAAAGCTTATTTATCTTTGTTTTCACGCAGGTTATTATGCGTCTTAAACGTGACGGCCTCTTTAACAAATAAAAAATAAAACTGCACTCTGGTTTTGTTTGCAGCGCTCTCGTTATGGTGACACTTTGTTTGTTGCGGGTCTTCCTCTGTGTGTCCGGTGAACTGTTCATTTTTATAACATTTATTTTAAAAAAGCTACAAAATAAACTTTGATTTTGTTTTCATTCAATTTACTTGATTACTTCGGCAGAACAGTTAGACTGTATGATATTTGGCTCATATCGATGGTTAACGTGTCCTTAGAATAACAAATTGTGAGCATTTTACTTCGGCTGTTTACCTAGAATCAGCCGAAGTGGCTGAAAAGAGGTCAACAACGGTAATGTCCAATCAAGACCCGTTCTGGATCGAGAAGCCCGGCAGTTTTTACGTGTTTGTTCATATTTACCCTCAGATTTGTTGAGTAATGCAGATAAAAGTGTTTTGTTTACATTGAGTGCGTACCCGCATTTCAGAATTACATTTCAATTTAGCTGGAAAACGACCAACGTAAACTCTTTCAAACTGCACCATTTGATAAGGATAAGCTTTTTTAATGTTTCATTTTACAGGTTAGAGCGAGTATCTTTAACAATGCCTGAAGGAAAATGATTTATATGTAAATTTTAATATATTTTTACAGTTTAGCTCTATTTTTATTATTGTTTTTACTTTCAGTAATCGTCAAAGTTCATGTTCAATAATCCAGGTAAAAAATCCTACAAAGTTCAGTCAGGTCATCTGGATGGTTTCTTCTTTTTTTGTTGTTGTTGAGACATTTCGTCCTTCATCCAAAGGACTTCTTCAATCGAGGAGCCACAAACAAACTCGGTCCCACAAGCGCCACACTCCCATAGTGGAAAAAACAGTTTGCTGGTGATAAAATGGTTTCTGGGGCCGACCCTCTCCTCTGTCGACTCCTCTGAGGCAGCCATAGCCAAAGTGGTTCAAAACATCAGAGTTCATGCTCAATAATCCAGGTAAAAAAAATCCAAAGTTCAGTCCGGTCACCTGGATGGTTTTTTTGTTGTTGTTGTTTTCTTTTTTTGTTGTTTCATCCTTCATCCAAAGGACTTTGATGTTAGCAAAATGTTTTTTTTCCCACTATGAGAGTGTGCTGCTTGTGGGGACTCTAGTTTGTTTTTGGCTCCTCGGACTGAATAAGTCCTTTGGATGAAGGACAAAACGTCTCAGAAATAAAAGAAACCGTCCAGATGACCTGATTGAATATTGTCGGGTTTGTACCTGGATTATTGAGCATGAACTTTGGTGTTTTTAACCATTTTGGCATAGTTGCCGAGGAAAACCGGAGTATCAAGAGGAAACCCAAGTAAACAAAGATGCAAATTCCACATAAACAAACAAACCAGGTCCAACCTAATTGAACCCAGAACCTTCTAGCTGTGAGGCAACAGTGCTAACCACTTAGCTATTGTACTGTCCATTATATGCTCTGAATGGCTCTCAGCTACTACCACACCAAATTTTAGCTCAACATTTCGAGATTCCAGCATTTCGGCTCTGTTCTCCATTAACCTTTTCATTTTCAGGGTGAGGTCGAGAGGACAATCTTCCCTTTAGGGCGGTTCTTCCTCTGCTGGCAGATGAACCACAACTCATCGTTGGGTCGATGAGCGTCACATGATGACTTTTGTCACGTTTCAGCTCCTGTGAAATTTTTTTTTATCAAAAGTTCTCACCTGCATCCCCCATTTGCTCCTTGAGCTCCTTTCTACAGACTCCTGCTGAGCTCCATTGATCACCTCCGTTGTAATCCATGAAGTCATCTCAGTCTCCAGTCTGCCTGTCCGATCTCTCACCTCATCCCGAAGACACTCACCTTTCCAAATGCCAAAACCCAAAGTCGCCTTCCTCCTCTCAGGATGCAGGAATTCTCCCCACCTCAGTGATCTGTGAAATAAACAATAAAAGCAAATATCCTAGTTGCAATCAAATCTAGAGTTTACAACTTAACTGGAAATCATCACTCCAGCCCTACTTCCTCTGACATAAATTTTATACCTCTGTTTCTGGTTCCTCCTTTCATAATAAAACACGTTTACTTACCACTGTTCTGATGTTTTGATCTCAGAAATCGGAACCCTGAAAAAACCTCTTCAGTTAAAACCCAATACCTGTAAAACCAACTGGATGGTAGTCAATTTAGAGTTGACCAAGCTCTATTACCTGTGTGGCCATCTAGCAATGGATTGAATCCAAAGGTCAGTCCATTGTAGACGCTGAATAACGACTTTCTGTCAAGATTAGTTAAAATTCAAGCACAGATTTTATTGATCTTTATCAATAACAAAATATTTTCCAAGCATTTGCACCAGTGGCGGCTGGTCAATAGGGGACGCTAGGACGCCGCCCCACCACTCAAACCACTCACATGTTATCTTGAAGACAGAAAAAAATTAAATATAAATGAAATAATAAAAATATGTATATATTTTCTTAGTTGTGTAAGATAAACATTTTATAGTTAAAGATGAGTAAAGTTGTTTCTTTCAAAAACATTTTCTCTGATGACGTATTTCCACCCTGGGGGCGTTAGAATCTTTGCCCATAGACTCTCGTTAAAAGTTGTACGTGTGCAGTTAGCTCCTCTTCATTACAAGAGATAGGAAGATTCTGGGCGCACCTCTCCTGCGCCGGGGCGCACAGTCGAATAGTTCCGATCGTGCTTCCGGTCCCGGAGCAGATTTTTTCTTTGGTCCCGGAACAGATCGTGCAGTGACACTCACAACCAGTCTATCTGCTGCAGGTAGACTTTAAGCCATTGAAAGCCCTTTATCTAATGCCTATGTTGCCGTTTTTTGACTTGTGAAAAAACCCTTCAGCTGACTGTGTATTCTAAAAGTGGGAACTGGTGAGTTTGTTTCTGGAGCTAGCATGCTAGCGCTAGCCTCCAGATTGTATTGGGCTCTGTGCTTGCTGCATTTATTTGAATGTGCTTATAGAAAAATAATTGTCAAACATTAATACTTTTCTGTACTAAATGTCACTGATGGTGTCATACTATTTCTGAACGCCTGCATTTGTATTGATCTGGATCATGAAAAATAAGCCTCTTGCAAGTAACTAGCTCCTAGTTTGAAGCATTTAAATTGAAGGTACACTGAGATGGTGAAATGATATATGTGCTAAGGTGCAATATTAGGACCTTTTAATATTAGGAATATTTAAGAGTACTCAAATAATGAGCTTGATTCTATTTATATTATGAACTTATATTACTATAGTAATGATGATAAAACATGTGCATGTATTGCTTATATTAATGATGGTTGTTGGTATTGATAAAACCCAGGGTTATGGATTATTAGGTCTGTTTCACACGGGCAAGGTTCCTGTCTATTGCTGAGGATGGAGCGGTTGTATCCCCACAACTCCTTCCAGTGTGGTACTTTTACCACTGGTTTGCACCCCCATTTTAGTTTGTCTTTTGTCTTGAGCAAGGTAAAACGTTCATATCTGTGTCTGATCTTGAATACGTTGTGAGTCATAGATGCAAAAATGATGAAGTGCAGGGACAGACAAATGATTTCACAACTCAGTAATTTGGAGAAGTGCAACCGCTCTCTTTTTGAAGGATGCCGAGCAGAACAGAAAAGTGCTTCAGTTGGTCTGTTGCAGCTCTGCTGACTCTTACAAATTATTTTATTTATTTGTTTCTTTATACTTGTTTCCGTGCGAGCTTCTGGTAAGAGTAATTTAGATTTCCCACAAGAGGCTGTTTGATTATTGTCCTGTTTGATTAAGCTGTGCTCTGACGTGCGTAGAGACAAGAAAAGGATTTTAGCTTTAGTTTAGACTTGCATGATTAGTAACTAATTAACTGTATTTCCCCCCACAGGTGATAAGTTTAAATCAGTCATGAGGGAGAACATTGTGATCCTGTTACTGGGAGGACTCTTTATTCCTGGTAAGTTATTTTAGATGTTTAAAGACAGCTAAAATAAAGACAGAAGACTGAAGCTTTTAGCCGTATGAACAAAGAACCAGAAAGTAACTCATGACCACTGGAGTTAATTGTTCTGTCATTGTTTCCTCGTTTGATTTAATCTTTGACTCTGGTGTTACAGGAACGTTACAGGACGACTGTCCTAGTAATATAATCCTCTTCATCAATACACCAAAAACCCTGGAGGCGCTGAGCGGCTCTTGTTTACACATCCCGTGTAGCTTTAGAGTGAAAAATGAAGCAGACTTCGACCGTGAAGGAAGCGTCTTTGGAGTGTGGATCAAGAACTACCAATGGGATCTAAGCAACACCATTTTCAACAGCGGTAAACCAGTGAACATCTATCCAATGAATATAACTGGGAACCTGCGAGAGAAGAACTGCAGCACTTTGTTCTCCGACCTGAACAAGAATTATTCCCACAGTTACTACTTCAGAATTGAGAACGGCCCACGTAAAGCAACCGCTGCTTGTGAATCCCTTCAGATAAATGTGACGGGTAAGATCATGTTAAAATGTTCATATCATTTGTAAGAAAATATTAAAATGTGTCGCAATTTTGAATTGACCAGGAAACCCCAGAACTAAATTTGTCGTTGGAAACAATATGATCAACGTGTTGGAGCTGCTCAGTTTATTGTCTGAATGTTTATGAAGCGTTCACACTATTGTGATCCGTTTTTCTTTTCAGAATCGTTCTCATTCCACAATTTTTGTGTTATTTCAACAAATCATAAATCAAAACGTTCAGCTCTTTCAGGACAATCCTGCTACGACGTTTGGTATTGGTGCAACTTTAGCTTTTTGAAATATTTAGCTGTTTCTGCCATTTTTTTCCTTCAAATATTTAGATGTTTTACTGCTCCTTTCACATTTTGTCCTGGTTCAGCTTCTTTCAGCTTCCTTGTGCAAATTGAAACTTTTTTTCAGCTAATTTCAGCTGTTTGTGCTCCTTTCAGCTTATTTCTGCAAGTTTGAGCTTTTTCTGCTATTTCAACTACTATTTAGCTGTTTTATGCTAATTTGAGCATTTTCAGCTAATTCCAATATTTTTTCACTCATTTCAACTTTTTTCAGCCTAATTCAGTGAAAATGTGCTCTCTCCACTTCCTTTTGGTGATTTTAGCTTATTTCTGTTTACATACATACTTTTCAGCTGTTTGTTGCTTATTTAAACTTTTTTCAGATAATTTCCACTTTTTTGTGCCCATTTCTGCTTCTTTCAGCCTAATTATGCGAACGTGCATGTTCTTTCTGCTTTCTTTTGCTAATTTATGCTTGGTCTAACTTTTCAACTACAAAGTAATTTTTAGCATTTTTAGCTAATTTCAGCTGTTTTCAGATAAATTCAAGTTTTTTGTGGTAATTTCTACTTTCAGCCTAATTAACTTCTTTCTAATTTCAGCTTGTTATGCTTCTTTCAGCTTATTTTTGCTAGTTTCAGTTATTTCAGCTACTATTTAGCTGTTTGATGTTGTTTTTAACTTTTTCAGTTAATTCCACCTTTTTTTGTTGCAAATTTTTGCTCTTTCCACATCCTTTTGGGTAGTTTAAGATTCTTCCTGCCTTTTCAGCTATTGTCGGTTGCTAATTTCAGCTTTTTTTTTTGCTAATTTAATATTTTCTGTATTCGTTTCTGCTTATTTAAACCTAATGCAGCTAATATGTGTTCTTATTTCTTCTGCCAATTTAGGCTTGTTCTGCCTTTTCAGCTAAAATTCAGCATGTCTTTTAGCTAATTTCAGCTGTTTTTCAGCAAGTTCAGCAATAGGCATTCACACTGCATTTTTGCAGGAAATGCAATTTCTTTATTTTATTTTGGATTTAATATTTTAGACCATATGTGTAAGACTCAAGGCCCGGGGGCCAAATGTGGCCCTCGTTGACATCTTATCTGGCCCCCAAAATGTTATTTTAAATGTAAAATACTTTAACCTCTTTAATTTTTTTCAGCAATCTTTGATAATGATGTCAAAAGTGCAACAGAGAATGTTAAATGAGACCAATCAAACTCTTGTTGAGGAACCTGCAACCAAGAAAAGATGTTGGGTCTCCAACTTGAGTTTATGTAGATTCTGAAACTGGTCCTTAGTTTGAAAAAGGTTTTAACTTTGGCCCCTTTTGTAAGTGGGTTTGACTCCCCTGTTTTAGACTCATCAGTGTGTTCTCAGTTACTGCAGTACATGACAGTATCTAATAAATCTAAAACACCTGACTTTGCTTTAAACAAGTTTTCATGTCAAGACAAGATACATGACTTTCAGATCTGCAGAGTCACAGACTTCCCTTTAAAGATCTAATCATTTAGTGTTTGTTCATTAATTGCATCATTAACTAAATGTTAAAATCAATTATGTGAAATCTCAGATTCTGCCTGGAGTCCCAGCATTAAAGTCTCAGGTGATCTGAAGGAGGAGGAGTCTGTCTCCATCACCTGCTCAGCTCGGACTCCCTGTCCACACTCACCTCCTGAACTCACCTGGAGTCTCCAACAAGACTCTCAGAGAACAGAGAAGAACCCAGATGGAACGTTTACAACTAAAATCCAGGAGAACATCATTCTGTCAGACACACATGATGGAGACAACATCAGATGTTCTGTCAGATATCCTGTGGATGGAGGGAAACGTAAGAAGACAGCAGAAACAAGTCTGACTCTCAGTGTTTCCTGTAAGTGATCCTGTGGACCCGTCACGGTTCAGCTGGTTCTGATGAATGAAGTTAATGTGTGACCCGTTCTCCTCAGATGCTCCTAAAGACACCTCAGCATCCATCAGTCCATCAGGTGTGGTGTCAGCAGGTACCTGGGTGGAGCTGAGCTGCTCCAGCAGAGCCAAGCCTCCTGCCAGAACCTTCACCTGGTTCAGGAACAGCTCAGAGGGATTCACCAAAGTTTCTGTGGGTCAGGTTTACAGGTTCAACACCTCTGAGGGAGGAGAGTTTTACTGTGAGGCTCTAAATGATCTGGGTAACCAGAGGTCACCTGTGGTTCTTCTTAACTTAGAAGGTAAATATTTTCCTGCACTCAGTCTGATTAAAGTTCAAATCAAGTGGACTTTCTAAAAAAGGTAAATCTGGTCCTCTGGACATTCAAAAAAACCCAAAACAAAGCGAAACAACAAAAAATGTAGAAACGTTTCGTCTCTCGTCCGAGAGACTTCTTCAGTCTGAGGTGCTGTTTTCAGCTCAGTCTCTTAAATAGTGGACTTTGTGCTCTATCTCCTTCACCTTTTTGTGATTAAAGACCTTTTTTTAATCTTTTTGTTGTTCAGATCCATCAGAGGATTCTGTACCCTGGGTACCAATTGCTGCAGGATTTATTGGGATGATTTTACTGCTTGTTTTTATTTTGTGAGTATAATTAATAAATGCTGGTACAAACATCTGAATAAGTTTTGGTAGTAAAATATATTACAGAGCAGTAGTTACTGTGTACTTGCTAATTAATAACTTCATACTTGCTGGGTACATAATTAGTGCTTATCAAAGAAATACTTGGTTTATGCATGGTACATGTCTGGTTTTTACTAAGTAAAAGCCTATACGTATTGGGTAAGTACCTGGTATTTGCAGGGTACCAACCAGGTACACTTTTGGTCTTTATTGGGTACTTACCTGTTACCTATTGAATACGTATTTTGTACTTGCAGAGTACCTTTAAGGAAAATACAAGATACTTAACTGGAATGTACCTGATACTGTTTTATCTGGTACTTACATTTTACCTAATAAGTATGTACATGTTATCAGAAATGTACTTAGTACTTACCAGGGAGGTAATTGATACTTACAGGGTACATACCTAGGAGTTATAGGATATGTACTGGGACTGGCAGTTTATGTACTGGGTACATACTTTGTTCTTACATAGCTATTTCTTCAGGGTACCTAATGCATGTGTACTGGACAGGAACCACGTATATCCTTGGTTCTTATTGTGTATGTACCTGTTAATTACAGGGCTTGTACATAGTACATACTAGGTATGTAATGGATACCTAAAGAGTATATACCCAGGAGTTAATGGGTATTCCCTGGGTTCCGACTTGTTTTTTGACTTAGCTGTTACTTACAGGGTATAAAAAGTTAAGCATGGGATACATATTTGGTAACTGGTAGGTGGATGTTGCTTATGGGTCACAACCCAAATACCTATAACTTATTAGACATGTACAGGATAAAAACTTGGTTCTTTCTGGGTATGTACATGGCACATACAGGTACATACTTGATAATTAAAGGGTACAAACCTAGGAGTTACTGGGTATAAACTTTGTGGGCATGTGCACAGTAAGTACAGGGTATGTACTGGGGACATGGTTCCCACCATGTAGCCTTTACTTTGAGGGTACCTAAGGGCATGTACTTAACACAAACTGGGTATATACTTAGTAAGTACCAGGTATTTATCAAGTATGTACATAAGACTTACCAGGATAAACTGCTACTTTCTGTATATGCATTTGGTACTTATTCGGTATGTATTGCACTTACAGAGCACCATACCAGATACTTGCGGGGTACTTAATTGATACTTAATTGGTGCTATGGTAGTTTCCAACTTGGAACCAAGTACCGGTAGTTACAGATTGCATTCCCCACAATGCCTATATGTTACAAGACATCAATTCCCTAACTGCTCCCTGGGTGCTTAAACTGCTGCCTGCTGCTCCACTTGAGTCTCTCACAAGTGTGATAGATCAAATGCCAAGAACCAATTTCATCATGCTCTGGGAACATACAATGATAGCAGCACTTAGCACTCTCACATCAATAGTTGATGCTTATTAAGTACAGTCCCTGTACCAGGTACGTACCTGGCTGTATTAAGCATTGCTACCAATTAATTTTAAATAGGAGTCTGCTGGGCTGGAACGTATGGTGCCTTGCCACTGTGTCAACTCTCATCAGTTCCACACAACACTGCATCAGTTAAGGGCCTGCCCACTGCTGGTACCCACTCCCACTCAGCCTGGTTTATGGGACCACCTTGTTTGGGGTTCCAAACACACTGCTCTGAGGTGCCGATTTTGATGTAATCAGACAGCAGCCGTTGATTGGCCAACGGATGTTGACAGATGGCGCCACAAGAAATGGACACATTTACAGAAAGATGTCTGAGACGATGGTGCAACATGGACTTAAAATCAGTGCCGGAACAAGCCAAAGAAATTCAAAGACAATTATAGGGCAATTAAGGCCTACAACATGCGGAGAGGCTCAAACACAATTACCTGTTACAATATTGCCCACTTTGCATTGATGATCCAGCACCCAGAGTGGTGAAAGAAGTCACAGTGGCAAATCACCTACACCTAAGAAGAACCAATAAGACGAGAGCCGAGTGGAGTTGCACTTATAAATGGCAAAGTGGCTATACTGATTTAAAGTTTGACATTTTGTTGTATTTTACAGAACCTTTGTGTGTTTGAGGCGGGCTAAGAAAAGAAATCCATTGGTACAACAGCCCCAGGTGAGAAAATACTAAACACAGTAAGAGCACAGAGAGTTTCTTCATGGCATGAAATGTAAAGAAACAGGAAATCCTTAAAATAAAAACATTTTCTTCATTTCACCACAGGCTTTTTACTCAAGTTCCTGTTTGTTTACAGAATCAATGCAGCAAAGAAGAAAAGGTTCAAAACTCCCCAAAAGAAAAAGAGGAAGAAGAAATTCATTATGGAGAATTTCAATTCTCTAACCAGACATCTAACTCACCCTCCACCAGCACACATGAACAGGATACTGTCTACGCCCAAATTAAAGCAAATCCCTCAACACGGACCGCTGACGGTCCAGAAGATCTCTATGCCCAAGTGATGAAAAAATGAATTCTGTTTTGTTTGTTAGATATTTGCTTAAAGTTTCATTGTACTAAATGCTTCTTTGTTAATGCAGTCCATACCTATTTGAAAAGACAAGATGAAGAAATGTGGGAAACTCTGAGTTCAGGGTAGTGGCACTTTGATCTTCCCTATGTATTACTAAAGATAGAGGTAAAGGAGGTGAAAGGGGGGGAGGAGGGGGGGAGGAGTCAATACTCTAGATTTATGGGAAGAGGCACTTTTCTTCTGTTGCATAAAGTGTACGGTAACTACAAGTGGATTAGAGTGGTCTTTAATCCAAAATTTAATTGCTATATAATTCCACTAAAATGTATTGAAGGGACACTTGGTGGCTGCTTACATTTCCATGAAAGGAAACATTTAAATATTTGACAACAAACAGATGCCGTCATGTTGTGTTTTCACCACACCCTGGAAGCCATGACCTAAATACGCCAACAGAACCACATCATCTGCAAAGAGTGAAACCTCGAGGTTCCCAAACCTGACTTCCTCTTCTTCATGACTGGACCTAAAGATCCCATCCATGAACAACCCAAACAGGACTGAAGACCAGGTGCACCCCTTGAAGAGTCCAATCTGCACCAGGAACAAAACTCAACTGTCATCATGACCCCCTTAGCATAAGGTAAAGATCTGGTCCACTGTTCCACAACCCAAACTAAAGTCACACTGCTCCTCCTGAATCCATCGGTCAGAGCCTCCCAACTAATTTCCTGGACTATACTTTTCCCAGGAGGTTGATGAGTTTGATCCCACAATAGCTGTAGGTCTCTCTCTGGTACCAAGTGTTGTTCCGGTCCTCTGTGCGCTACTGATGAGGCGTCAACCGAAACAGGCCCCACGAAGTCCAGAGCAGGAGGTTTCAACCTGCGGCTCTGGGGCTACGTTTGGCTGTTTAGTGGTTCTTTGTGGCTTTGACCAAAACTAATCTGGAAATGAACATTATTTATACTCATCAATAAAATAGAAAATGGTAATTTTAGCCATTTTTCAGTCCAGTTTTTTCCAACTTTTCACATCGAACCAAAAATTTGGTCACAAAGTGAGATATAGCGAACTTTAGTGCATTGGTTAAAAAATGTAAATTGTGTCAAAATAAGATCAGTAAATATCTTACTGGTCCCAATAGAATTCTAAACAATGTTTAGAATCACTTTTTTTTTTTTTTAACAGAACAAACAAATGATAGTTTTAAACAGAAAATCCATAACTTTTTGCTACTTTCATGGTGCGCTAGCAAAGCTATTTTTAATACCAGCTGGGAAATCCAGGTATCCAAATAAGGTTTGAGGTTTTCTTTTTCAAAGAACGTCAAGAAATCCTCATTAGAAAACACAAAAAATATAAATCAGACACATTTTCCAAGGGATATCCCAATTAGCAAAACATATCAAACCATTTCTCTAGAACCGCTCAGATCAAAATGTAGCTTAAAAAGACAAAAATCTGAAAATGTGCATAATGTAGTTTGACCAAATATGACTTAATCACAAATATTTGAATAAAACTTCTGTGAAAGAATGACACTAAAGCAAATCGGATTAATCACTTGCACTAGCAGCTTGTTAGCCATGCGTTTTTAGCCACGCATGGGGATTTTTCTCTAATTAAAACATTTTAACACATTTGACGCAAGTTAATGAGGGAAAAGAAAATAGAAAGTGCAGTTTTGAACACGTCATAAACTTCTAAATTATAAGCCAATGAAATGAGGAGTTTAACAAAAAAATATGGCAATAAATTCACAATTAATTACCTAACAAGCAATAAACAATAACTCAACAGCTTATAAAAATGCAAGTACTGTACATATACTGTATATTTAACTGTTTCAGGTGGGATGGTTGTATTAATAATGTATTTAACAAAATGTTCAGTGTTTAAAATTTATGAGCTCTATCTTTGTCCTAACGTAAAACTGTCAATAAATGTCACTTTATAATGCAATAAAAGCAATAAATTTATATGAACTATATGTAAAAGCCTTTATGGAGTTTTGTTCTCTTTATGTACGTTCTTCTCCACTTTTTCACTTTTCCCAAACTTTGCTCGCGTCATATCATGAAACGACTGTTCTGTGACACGAGGTAACAAACGTTGGATGGATAGATGTTCATTTCTTCTTGCAAAGGACACTTCTGAGAGCTAGATGTGAATATGAACGCTAATAAAATCACTTTTTATTAAAAAATCTGCCCCTTCAGTGTTTTTGTCATCCTTGTTGCCAACAAAGTTTATCAAAAACTCTTCTTGTGCAGCTGGAAAGTTCACAACAATATAAAAATCATTGTTTTAAAAGAAATATGTATTTATGAAGTAATGAGGGAGCAGAAAACGGGACTCAAATAATCAACAAAATTTGACGTTATTGCCGGATTTGAATGAAACTTGTATTTTAATCACTGGATGTACAAGTCGTTAACTTCTAAAGTTAATTGATTCAAGATGGTCGCCACAGCTAATGGACTTTTGGCAAACACAAAAGTGGCTATAAATCAGTCAGTTCGACCAATATTGGGCTAAAATTTGGTGTGGTTGTAGCTGAGAGTCGTAGCAACACAAACTCAGAGTGCTAAAACATCACAACAAAGCTTTGGTGTCGGTGAGCGACATCCAATCATTACCAACTCGAACGTACATTGAAATGATTATTTTCCAAACATGATGTGACTTCAATATCTCTGAAAAGGACAAAAATGACAATTAACATTTATTTGTGATTTATGACTCAAGCAAGAGGCCCCTACTTGAGCTGCTTCTGTATTTTAAGTTCAAGTATCTTTATTATCCCCAAGGGGCAGTTAGTTTTACAGTCAGTAGATAAAAAACATCCACACTACACATTAAGACATTAAAATAATACGAGAGTCATCAATGTTCATTGAGAAGCCTGATCGATACAGGGATAAATGAGTTTTTCAGTCTGTTTGTTCAACATCTGGGCTGCAGATACCTGCGGCAGATGGAAGCAACCTGAACTCGCCATGGAGTGATGATCAGGATCTGCCAGACTCAGCCTGGCCTTGTTCACTGACCTCGTCTTCTGTAGGTCAGTGAGGTTCTGTAGGGATATGCCAGCAGTTCTGCTGCACATCCCCGAGAGTTTGTTCCTGTTCTTGCACGTCAAAAGTCCAAACCAACAGACGAAGGTGAAAGTGAAAAGAAACTCAATAAAGCGTTCTCATAAAAGTAGAATCAACATTAAAACCACAGAGCTTATGATAAAAATACATTCGCTGGTGAGCCTTTTTACAAAGTACAAAGTGAGTTCACATGGGGGTCAAAGGTCAGTGTGTCATCCAGAACAGTTCCCAGATATTTATAGTGATGCACCACCTCGACAGCTTCACTGTTAACGACCACAGGAGCTGCAACTGAAGAGTCTTCTCCTTTGTCTAAGTTGACTTTATTGGTTATTAAAGCTGGCAAAGTAAATAAATTACATTAAAAAAATTCAGACTGATTTTTCAGATTAAAAAAAGCAGATTTAAAACTCTTAAAAAAACAAACTATTTTAAAGCAACACGAGATAAGCTTAAGAAAAGTTTGCAAAGCCCCCTCGGAGACAGAAACTTCAGCTTTTTGTTGTCACGATCAGAGTTATAAATAACAAAATATTTCCAGACAGGTTTATTTTAGCTCACAGGTAAATTATTAGTTAATGTCTTTGTCTGATGGGCAGGCAGATAAATGATTACATGAGGTGATGAAAAGGAGAAATGACAACATCTGTGTTCAGTGATGCAGACCCGCCAACTGTTTCCGTTCAAACAGAACAGAGAAGTGCTGCGGTTCTTGTTCTACTGGAGGAACCCTGTGAGCTGTTGGTGAGGACGCTTTAAACATTTTACTGAAAAAACATGTCATTTATGCTGTTTTGTTGCAGATGTGTGAAATGGCCAGTGGGTTTGAAAACCAAAGGATTAAAAATAACTCGTTTGGTGTGACTTCCTGTTACTAATTTATTATCGTGGCTGTTTTTCCCGTTTCTGACAGTCATGTGTGTGATCATCACATTACTGAGTGTCCTCTTTATTTCACGTAAGTTGTCTCGTTGGACTTCGTGTCGAAATCTTCTTCAAAATTTCCTAATTTAAGTTAAATTCTGCCTCTGGTTCTGCAGGGACTCTGGCTGATTGTGCTGCTCATAACAACCTGCTCATCACGGCACCAAAAACGCTGCAGGCTCTGAGTGGCTCTTGTTTGCACATCCCATGTCACTTTAGCATTAAAAATAAAGAAGGCTTTAACAGTAGAAGTGTTGCTGGAGTGTGGATCAAAAGTGACCCAAGGTTTGCAACATTTCCAAACAATGTCATTTTCAACAGCAGTCGTTCAGTTAACGTCTATCCCATGGATATAACCGGAAACCTGAGTCAGAAAGACTGCAGCACTTTGTTCTCCGACCTAAACAAGAACTTTACAGACACTTACTTCTTCAGGATTGAGAGCAAACCTTTTATGGCAACAGCTGTTTGTGATTCTCTTCAGATAAAAGTAACAGGTAAGAGGTTTCTGTTAATGTTCTTAACGTCATTATAAAATAACAATAATGTGTTATGTGTTGTCACCATTGTATGTTCCCATACAATGGTGACTGCATTTAACCCATCGCACCTGGGATACACTCAGGTGGAGACGGGCAGCTATTGAAGGCGCCCGGGGAGCGATTGGGGATAGGGTGTCCTGCTCAGAGACATGAGATGTGCAATGACTGGGTATCGAGTCTGGGACTTTCGGGTCCCGAGTCGGCTGCCCTGCCTCTACCCCATTTCAGCCCCACAATATTATATGAATATTACAGTTTTTTCTTCACTAGCTCTCTAACGAGGCGCACACGTTCCTTCCCGCTTCCTGTTTTCCTCCGGCTTTATTTTAATTTTTTGCTCAGTCTGTGTATCGGAGCAGCTCCTACTTTTTTTACACATCTCCCGAAATGGAAACTACTGTTTTGGATCAGACCAACTGGACTTTCAACATATATTACAACTTCTTTTCAAGAAAGCGACAGGGTCCTGGAGAACCCTCATCTGCTCGGACGACACGCATGCAGCTGGATATCTCTCTGGGGGGGGTGTGCTCTGCTATTGACCGAGGATGCTGAAATTGACGATAATTGGATTTATAATAACAGTTTTCCTGTTTTTTAAATAGTTTAGATCCTGGTTTATCAACATACAAAGAAGCTCATTTGGACCTCGACAGGCTGCTGTCTATGTGAAGGTTCGTGCTGGAGGACTCCAAATCAGCTGCTTTACGAGCGAAACCGTAAGTTGGAAGTGATTTGAATCGCAGGCCACCTGCGGCTTTGGGACTCGTCAGCATGAAAAAACCATCTTGAAGAGGCTCGTAAGCACGGACCAGTGGAATGCACTCTAATCTGGCCACTTCGGACCTTGGAAAATTATCAGTACAGACTCTAAGGCTGACGGAAAATAGTCTGCCTGTGGTTATCTGAATCCCCGGTTGACCTCGGAACAGGCCGACTTATCAATTTCTCCTGAGAAATGTGTAAACTAATGGAAAGCTTCATCTATCGCAACCCCCATCCCTCCCCGCCTTCTGTGGAGAATTATTAGAACCGTGTCGGCTGACCACCATCTTATCAGGACAATGGACTATCTAAGGCTTCATGGACCACCTCGTTGTAAATGCATAATGTCTTAAATCTTGCCCTGTAAGGACAAGGTGTGAAGAGATCTTTTTTGTAATGTCACCACCCCTCTCCTCATGGCTTTGTCCCTTTTTCTATCTAAATAAAAAAAGTATTCTAAATAAGAATAAGAAGGCCGCGCTTTATAGCCGCAGCTTTGTGCACTCGATCCATCTTTTGGACAACTGTACGGACATGTTCTCATTGTATCTCAGTGCAGTGATAATAAAGTTTATTCTGATTCCATCAATATTGCATTAATTTTTTATTCGCTCTCTAATTGTCATGTCAGCTGATTTGAGAAACGATGACTTCTTTCTTCACGTCTTTGTTTTGTATTTGCAAATTTAGATTTAAAACGCCGCTAACTGTATCATGTATGTTTTGTTATAAAATGTGAAATCCCAGATTCTGCCTGGAGTCCCAGCATTGAAGTCTCAGGTGATCTGAAGGAGGAGGAGTCTGTCTCCATCACCTGCTCAGCTCAGACTCCCTGTCCACACTCACCTCCTGAACTCACCTGGAGTCTCCAACAAGACTCTCAGAGAACAGAGAAGAACACAGATGGAACATTTACAACTAAAATCCAGGAGAACATCACTCTGTCAGACACACATGATGGAGACAACATCAGATGTTCTGTCAGATATCCTGTGGATGGAGGGAACCGTAAGAAGACAGCAGAAACAAATCTGACTCTCAGTGTTTCCTGTAAGTGATCCTGTGGACCCGTCACGGTTCAGCTGGTTCTGATGAATGAAGTTAATGTGTGACCCGTTCTCCTCAGATGCTCCTAAAGACACCTCAGCATCCATCAGTCCATCAGGTGTGGTGTCAGCAGGTACCTGGGTGGAGCTGAGCTGCTCCAGCAGAGCAAAGCCTCCTGCCAGAACCTTCACCTGGTTCAGGAACAGCAAACCTGGACCTGTTCTTGTTTCTGAAGGTCAGGTTTACAGGTTCAACGTCTCTGAGGGAGGAGAGTTTTACTGTGTGGCTCTAAATGATCTGGGTAACCAGACGTCACCTGTGGTTCTTCTTAACTTAGAAGGTAAATATCGTCCTGCACTCACTCTGGTCACTTTAGTCTTTCTGCACTAACTTCTTTAACTTCAGCAGAGAAATCTTTGCCCTTGGTACCGATGGCTGCAGGAATTACTGGCATCGTTGTACTGATTGTGTTCATTTTGTGAGTATAATTCATAAATACCGCTAACAGGATCTATATGGTTGTATTTGGAGATGTTTTGGTAGCAATATTAAGTATTTATCCATATATGTACCCAGCACTTACAATATTTATAAGGATATGTACCTGTTACCTAGAGGGTAATTACTAAATTCATAGCTGGTGCATAGTGGGTACCTACCTGCTATTTACCAGTTATGTGCGTACTCTTATGTAAGTACCAAAAAAGTCCCTGAAATGTGCACATTAGGCACCCTGTATATGTGCTATATACATACTTGGTTGGTACGCTGTAAGTACCAAGAAAATACTAGGCAAGTACTTTGTACTCCATAGTACCAGGTACGTATCTGGCAGGGACCCTATAAGAACCAGGTAAATACCTAATACCTCTACTGGTTGAAACCAGGTAAGAACCCTCTAAAGTACCAGGTATGTTCTTAGTATGTACGAGATTAGATTAGACAGAACTTTATATATCCTTTGGGAAGATTTCTTCTGTGAAATAACTTCAGGTACTTACCTGGTCCTAAATAAACAAGTACCCTGTAAGTAATATTTGATGCCAGTAAGTAGTACCAGGTACCAGGTTCTTACAGGGTACCTGCCAAGTACAGTACAAAGTATATACCTGGTACTATGGAGTACAAACTTAGCATTTTACCCAAGGCTGTTTTGGTGCTGTGTAATTGTTTAAAACCAGATTTTTCAGTCTGATTTTAAACAATTACGTACACCAAGAAAACAGCCTTGGTAAGAGTTTGTCAGGACATTCTTTTAGCAATGATTCTTGTCTGTTTGTGATCCTCGAACTCCTGGACCTTACCGCTGCTTTCGACACCGTTGACCACAGTATCCTCATATCGCGGTTAGAACACTGGATGGGGATTACTGGTGCAGCATTAGAATGGGTCCATTCTTATCTGAGTGACAGGAGTTTTTGTGTTAATGTTGGTAATAGTTTATCTGCTTCAATGCCTCTTTCCTGCGGGGTCCCGCAAGGCTCTATTCTTGAACCCCTTCTGTTTTCATTGTCATCTCCTCCACTTGGGGTCTATCTTAAAGAAACATGGTCTTTTGTTTCATTGCTATGCTGATGATTGTCAGATTTATCTGCTCTTAAAACCAAACAGTTCATGCACAATTCACCCTCTGTTAAAATGTCTTGATGACATTACGGCATGGATGGCTTCAAACTTTTTAAGTTTCAACAGAAAACTGAAGTCATTGTGTTTAGCCCTAGCTCTACTGCCGTCTCTGTTAACCTGGACTCCCTTCAGCCATATCTTAAGTAGTCAAAGCTCAGGATGGTTTTAGACTCTGACTTTAAAGTTTAATAAACAGATTAACGCTGTTCTACAAAAAAGCTTCTTCCAGTTAAGGCAGACAGCTAAACTTAAGTCCGTGTTGACCAGTTCTGACCTTGAAAAAAATAGTCCATGCATTCGTTACAACCCGGCTACACTGCCCTAAACTTTGGAACAATCTGACCCCCAACATTAGACAGACCACTTCACTCCCTGCTTTTAAATCTCTCCTAAAAAAACACGCCTGTTTTCACTGATGTTAAACACGTTTGATTTAGTATTTCATCGTTTGTTTTTGTTTTATTCTTGATGCATTTAATTGCGGTACTTTTTTTTTCTTTCTTTAATTACGGTCTTGATCTTTTTCTTAAGCACTTTGGTAACAACCACCATTTTAAATGTGCTTTATAAATAAATTTGACTTGACTATTTTCTTGATGCCATGTACCTATCTGGTACAAACAAGGTATGTACCGGTACTAGATTTTGCACCACAGTACCAAGTACGTAGCTATAGTTTACTGGGCAAATACCCTTTAAATAAGTATAATGTAAGTACCCTTTAAGTACCAGTTATTTACCTACACAAGCAAGATAACATCCTTGTGCGAACTAAATTATCAGGTACAAACCTGGTACCTATCCAGTAATAATAGCTAGAATAAGTAGGTACCAGGTACATACTCAGAACGTGCCTGGCTGTATTATGTACTGGTACCAATATTTTTTAAACTGGAGACAGTTGTGTTGGATTTAACTTTGTTTTAATTTACAGAATTATCATGTATTTAAGGCGAGCTAAGAAGGAAAATCCATCGGTACAACAACGTCAGGTGAGAAAGTACTAAACGCAGTAAAAGTATTCTTCACGAGTCCAAGTGTCAAGAAACAGGAAACCTTAAGGAACGTTCTTTTCACTTCCAGATTTTTACACAAGTTCCTGTTTGTTTACATCATCAAACCAACAAAGAAGAAAGAGTTCAAAAGCCCACAGAAGAAGACGAAGAAATCCATTATGGAGAAATTCAATTCTCTAACCAGACGTCCGACCCGCCCTCCACCCACGAACACCAACAGGATGTCGTCTACACCCAAATTAGAGTAAACCCCTCAACGCAGACCGTTCCAGAAGATCTCTACGCCCAAGTGAAGAGAAAATGAATTCTCTTATTCTGTTATTCTTTCAATTCTGCTTTTAAAATGTCTCAACGTGGAAAAGTTTAGTTTGACAGATGTTACAAAATGCTGCTTTTGACTAAGTCCACTTTATTTCAGAGTACTGTAGTCGCGTAGTGCAAGTTCTGGATCAATTTAAAGCAGGGGTGTTCTTAAACTTCTTGCGTTCAGGGACCCTCTCATAACCCTCATGTTTATTACATAATTTTCTTTAGTTTGTCTCTAATGTAATGGAAATATTTGTGTAACATAAATACATAAGACCTATTCTTTAATAATGTCAATACAATTTTTATACTTTTAAACATGGGGTATTTTTAATTTAAGACAGTGTTAACTTTTTTTTTTTATTTCAACTTCCAAAAATTAGTTTTGAGAAAATAAACGGAATCAAAAAACACTTTAAAACTTTACCTATACACATAATGAGCACAATAAATGTATCGACGCTTGTTCAAATTATTATAGAAAACTCTTTACATAAACCTGAACAGAATCAGAACCGCGGTGGTCAATCCAAGTAACGGGGCTTCATTCGGAAACCGATCGATGCCGGAACACAAATAGTGGGCGGGGAAGTTCTGAGGGTCCGCCCCCAGAAAATTTAGAATAAAGCAGATTTTGATTTCCTGCATTTTGGTGTATTTAACAGGTTGTTAAACATCCATGTGCTTGTAAAAATAAAAAATATATATATTTTGCGGACCCCCAAGCACTGGCTCGCGGACCCCTGGGGAGAACCACTGATTTAAATGGATCATTAACTATTCCTTGATGTCCAATGAGCAAATGTGACAATTAATGCAACTCATTAAAAAAAACATTTTATTTGAGCTACCATTTAGCTCCTTTTAGCTGCTACTGTCACTTATGTATTTAAAATGTATAAAAATATGAATATATATATTTTTAAAAAGGAAAAAATGTAGATTGGGAGTTAATGTCTTACAGTTTTACAAGTTAAATTCAAAACAAAACATCCAAATTGGTGCTTATTTGTGATTTTATTTAACATTCAATCATTATTTTTGCATAAATGTCATTTATATGAACAAATAAAACCCCAGAAATCAAAAGCAAAACGTTCAATAGTTTTCAATTGGTCATGTTTAAAAACAGTGAAAAATAATAAAACGCTTCGATTTTTAATAACAGCACATTTCTTTTGCGTGATACACACATTTATCCTCGTACAGCTAAAATACGTTTTCAACGTCGATATATAAAATAAACTCAAGAATAATCTAAATTTATGGTAATGTTAGAACAAGAGATTCACCCTTTTTTTTTATTTTACAGAAATAATCGAGAGTTAAACAGATAACCTTTAATCATTTATACAAGTTTGTTTATTACCTTTTGTTGATTTTATTGATTTATTGATAACGTCTGCTTTGGTTTGGATCCAGACTGACACCAACTAAAACACGCTGAACAAAACCAAAGCTAAAGGCTAAACACAGATTAACCTGAGTTTTATAAGGAAGTCCTTAATAGTTAAAAAGTCAAACAGTTGTTTTTTTTGTGTTACTGCCTTCAACACGTCACAGAAACACCTTTCAGTGCGGTTTTTTTCTTCTCGCTTGTTGCTGCCGAAGGTTTAGATTTCAGGAGCTGAAGTCCAACCTTCGTCTTTTAGATCAGAGCTGCAGGATTCACATAAAACCAGGCTCAGTCATTTATTAAATGCAATAAAGATCCACTTAAAGACGGAGAGGAGTAAAACGTACACACCTGAAGCGAGTGGAGTTTACATATCCGGTTCTGCAGAGAGAGAGAAAGAATATGAGTTTTATTCACCGTCCATAAAGTTCTTCTGCCAGGACTTTTGGTATTTGTGCAGTTTTAACTTTTTGAAATATTCAGCTTTCTCTCATAGAAAATGAACGGCGCTCTCTTCACATCAAACCAGGGGTGCCCACACTTTTTCAGCATGAGAGCTACTTTTAAAACGACCAAGTCAAAGTGATCTACTGGTCACTTTGAGGCCCCGTACACACGAGAACAACCTCTGGAAACGTTTGTGTGTTTTCAATGTTTAGTGGGGGTAAAGAACAAAAAGCGAGCGGGTTTACATGAAAACGCTGTAGTTTCCATGTCAGTCAGGTTGCCAGATAAGAAATTATGAACTACAGTTCTGTGGCAACAAAAAAAATCATTAAATCATATCATCTGGACAGATTCTTCTTGGAAGAAATGTTTTGTCTTTCACCCGAAAGATTCGGAGTAATCAAACGCAGATTGAAATTGACATGAACAAAACACGAAGTAAAGGAAGTTCTTCTTCTTCGTTGGTTTTACAGCGGATCGCATCCACTCTGTTGCATTACCGCCTCCTCGAGACTGAACCTCACGCCAAACTTTCCGTAACGACGTGAAACGTAAATCTGTCAATCTGAGTTCGATTACGCCGCGGCTTTCTCAAGGACCTGGATATTTGAAACACGCACACAGAAAAAAAATAATAATTTTGGAATTGAAATTGAATTATAGAACTGAAAATGAAAGTAGTCAAACTGAAATTTCAATACAATGAAATACAGTTTCAGAACAAATTAATTCAGTTTCAAACCATTAAATTCAGTTTCGAGAGAAATCCATTTTCAAACCAATGGATTTAACTTCAAATGACGTGAACACAGATTCGGTCTGAGCAATTCAAATCCAGTTTCTGATGGTCCATAAAACTTGTGCTGATTTTGAGTTAGATGTTTGTAAGAGGATGGAGAGACTACTAAAAGGGGAAAAAATAAAACAACATACAGTAGTCCCTCACTTATCACGGGGGTTATGTTCCAGACACCCCCTGCAAAGTAGGGGCATTATATTTATTTGAGTATTTATATATATTTTAAGGCTTTAAAAACCCTTCCCACACGTTTGCAATGTTCTTAATGTTCTAAACTCTCTAGAAGAGCACAGGAAAGAGAGCAGACACTGATGCTACGGTTACAGACAATCAGCGCTTGGGGGCAGACTGGTCATCGGGAGCACCGGGACATATTCCCGGTGGCCTGGCCCGCTCAGTGATTGCCGAAGAGAACAAAAGGCTCAGTTTGGGTCGCACTTGATTATTTTAAATAAACAATCTATGCCACTCACTCTGGTATCTGCCTCACTGAAGCTCCCACAACAGCGATGGGGAAAGTCAGACCCCGCCCCCTCCTTTCTCTTTCTGAGGCTGTCTGTCACAGCAGAGCAGACACACAACAGGTTGCGCGCTCACCTGTTTTGTATCTGCTCTGCTGTGACACACAGCCTCAGAAAGAGAAAGGAGGTGGCTCCTCTGCAATCACTGAGCGGGCCAGGCCACCGGGAAATGTCCCGGTGCTCCCGATGGCCAGTCTGCCCCTCAGCACAGCTCTGGTTGGTCACCTTCCATCAGTCAGCCAGTCGTGTGTCATGTACAATCTTATGTTGAAAACCCGTGAAAGAGTGAGTCGAACCGCGAAATATCGAGGGATTACTGAATTTCACGTTTTATTACAGGTATCAGATACAAAGCTGAGCTTTATAAAATGGGCTTAAACTGGGCCCTCACTGTCCTTTCCCTCATCGTTTCTTCCAAGTTAGAACTTCTTGCATTTGACTTTTCAATATGAAGAAAACACTGAAGCTCTCATTTACTGCCTCTCATAAATACCAGGACAAGAATGATCTTCAGTTTTACAGTGTTGTCTCAACTTCTTGTGGCATAAAAGAAGCATTGAGCACGTACCCCACTCGTATATCTTGGTGTCGTCTACGTGGGTCACTCTGCATTTAAACCGGTCTCCTTCCTTTGGAGTGAAGGGCACATGTCTGGTCAGGTGGTAGTGCCAGTTCTCCTCGAAGGCCAGGTCGGTTTGATTGGACCCGGGGATCTCCACATCGTTCTTCAGCAGTTCGATGCGGATCTCCGGCGGGTGGAAGCCGCTGACGTGGCAGATTAAGACGTTGGCTTTCCCGAACTCTCCCGGGTTGCGGCTGTAGACCTGGACCTTTGGTGAAGCTGAGAACAAAAAACAGGAACACTGTAAGACTTCTAGACCAAACGGTCTCACTATGTTTTACCCCAACACAAATGTGGATCAATCGTGTCAATAAACGGCATTCAGAAAACTTTTCAAAGAATGATTTTGCAGTTATTTGTTTCTGCAGATTTCTTAACAACAATAATTCTCTTTACCTTTTGACAGCAGGAGAGCCGGTTCTCCTGGTGCCAATGGATAAACAAAATGTGTTTCGTCTAAAGTTTAGACTGTTTTTAATTTTCAGTTTGAACATTATGTTGGCTCAAAAAGCTAAAAACAGCTTAAGAATTATTTATTCATTTCAAGAAGCTCGGCGACCAATATCACTGGGTGTACTTTTATTTTTAGTACTTTTAATACAATTATTACTGAAAAAACTTTGCACTATAATTATGGTATTGATTTAGCCTTTAACACATCCTCTACAGTCACAATAAACAATAACTCAATAACTCCACCATGTCAAGTCAAGGGGCCTCCAACCCATTTTTCTTAAAGATTCACGCTGCTCGCTCCCTCACTATCCATCCTTCGGTTCAAACAGTCTTATACTGCCATCTGGTGGCCAAAAAAAGGTACTACACACAAAACAAATTCTTAAATTTGACAATTATTAATTATTGTCAAATTTCAAACAATATTATCGTTTATCGCAATAATTTCTGAGACAATTAATCATCCAGCAAAATTTGTTATCGTGACAGGCCTAGTCTCTACTCTGATTGTTAATGACCAACTTCCTGTAAATCAGACCAAATACTAGTAAAACCATCTGTTAAGCTTTAAAAAATATATTTCTAACATTGTACTAATGAAAGTAGCAAACCAAATAATACTCATTTAAACCATGATTCAGGAATATTAAAGGAACATTAAATGTGTTTTGTCCACCCAAAGATAAAGAAAATAGGAACTAAATAAAAATGTAGACTGTGCACTTTAATTCCAAGGTTTATCCACCTCACATAAACATTACAACAAAAGTTTTCTCTCATAGTTTTACTTTGACATCTCTAAGATGCTGCTTGTACGGTGATTATGACACCTGTTGGACGTGTCCAATCAGAGGACACTCTTTGTCTTAATGCCTCAAAGGTCGTGTTTTCTGGCCAGCTGAGAAGAAATGTGAAGCATTAAAACCGTCATTTAAAACCGTGGCCGTGCCTCAGATGAGAATAATGTTTATTATATTCACGGTGTGGAGCTGCACTCTGGGGACGATAGTTTACAGTAACTTGTACTTTTAGTCTGACTTGTACTCTTCCTCATTCCTAGAGAAAATTATATTATTTACCTTCAGACTTTATACAACCTTTAATATTTCCTGTTCTGCAGTAGCAGCGCAACACATTTTATGACAGAAAAGCAGATAACATAATCATTGATCATTAAAAAGCCACACTGCATTAACTTTCCCCATTTGACACTTTTTTGGAGTCTGGTAACTTGGACCGTTTTGTTCCCACCACGGCAGCCGCCCCGTTGTTGATGGTTTAATCTACTGGAGTACATTTTAGAAAAGTCTAGCATTTTTTTAACTTTTAAACATTTGTTATGATGCGTAACCATAACAACAAGGTGTTTTTTACAACTGGGAGCAGCTGATTAACATCTCAAAGCTCAAATAATGCTTCAACTACACCCCCAAATCCCAAATGAGTTGAAAAGGAGGCGCCGTGGATGCATTCCCGTCTACCTGGAGGCGGTGCTTGAGAGCCTGACCACTGACATCTTGGAAGTGGCGGGAAACGTAGCTCGTGACAGTGGGAGGATCGAGATCGTCCCCCGGCACCTGCACTTTTGTCCACAGCGACGAGGGGCTAAGCCGGTGGGAGGAATGGCCATCGCTGAGGGAGGAGTTCTTCCCGGCATTCAGGCAGTCCTGCTGCCCAAAAGGACAGAGGTCTGCAGGGTCTGGGCGGAGGGATCGGCATCTGCAGCCAGTTTTTTTAGATGCGCTGTGGGACTAAGAGATCCTTCCTGCCCACAGTCATCAGCATCTACAACAACTCTAATGAAACCGGGATGAGCTGCATCAACAATTAATTTCCCTTTGAGGTTAATAAAGTATTTTTGAAATGAACTGAATTTAATTTAAGACTTTTAAAAAAATATCTAGCCCCAATTCACAACAAATGTCTCAAGGCACTGTACAAAAACATTCATATACATTAAAAAAAAGCCAATTAGTAAAAAGTTATCTAAGGAAGCCAGCAGACTATGTCGAATCTCCCATCCTGAGCAGCACACAGGCGACAGTGGGAAGGAAAAACTCCCTTTTAACAAGAAGAAGCCTCCAGCAGAACCGGGCTCAGGACAGGCAGCCATCCGCCTCGACCAGCTGGGGAACAAACTGTATATTGTCAGTGGTCACAGTATTAATTTGAAGTATATCTGGTTGTATCTGAATCCAATAAAACGTGTACCAGCAGGTTTGTGTTGTAAACATGAGTACAAAGTGACAACCTCTAAGTACAAGTTGGCAAAAGAATGACTTAACCACTCCCCACGGTAATGACAGGTACTTTCCTGTGCACCTTTATGACACTGTTTCCACACAAATAGTTTTTAAGACTGATTAAACATGGTACAATCTTTAAAAAACTCCCAAAATACAATAACTCATTACACTTCAATGGTAAAGTGCAGAGGAAAGTGATTTGACTTACTCAAAATGCTTTAAGCCACATAAAAACTGATGTACAGTTTTGTACAGAAATGTGAATAATCAATTTAAATGTCTATAATGTGTTTTATTTGAGCCTGATCCAGGTCGAATGAAGATCAAGAACATTTAAAATGTGTTTAAGCTTATTCGTTTGTTAGGAATTAATGTGACGTCACAGCGTCAACCATCATGACCCAAACTTCTCAAAGATTGTTCCTTTTGTTAATCTTAATGTTATCCGGTTTATTTTTTTAACAACTTGAACAAAGATTCAAGGTTATATTTATAGTGAGAGCTGACATTTGTTGCCAGCTTTTCCTTCTTCCTCCTGGCAGCCACGATCAAAACACGAAACGATAAATTTACCTTTTGTCGCCGAGGAGAAGTTCGAAAGGCAGAGAAGAACAGCGACGATCACGATCTCCTTCATGGTTTCTCCTCCTTCTGAAGACTTCTTGAGACAAAATAAATAAAACGTCTCCTACTTCGGACAAAATGGCCAAATAAAAGTACGCAGCGACCAAAATCGAAAGTAAAACGTTACAAGGCAGGCGTGACGTCGTTTAGCTAATCAAATCAGGCACCAGCTAACAGTAAGCCCCGCCCATGTGATCACGTGACGGCTGATTCAACCAATGATAAAATCAGGATGCGCTGTTGCTAGGTAGTGTTTATTTAAAGCAGTTTTTATTTATTTACCTGGACTTACTGTACACAAGCAAAAAGGCTCTTTTATGACCTCGCTCAGATAAAACAGCCCTCCAACGAACTGTTTGAGTAAATATGTATAGCTTTACTTAAATAGTTCTTACTTTACTTCTATTCTTTTTCATATTTTTGCTAATTCTCTGCTCCTAATAATGTTACTTTAAACTTAAATTTGATCTGAATATTATGCTATCCTTCTGTTAATGCAAATGTTGACCTGAGGAGGTATGGCAGAGGATTATTCACATGTTTATCATTTTGTAATTTGAGATTGTTATTTGTTCTTTTGTTATTGTGTTCAATAAAGTTAAAAATAGAAAGAAAGAAAAAGATAGAACTTATCTGTACATCCATAGTTATGATATCTATGATTATATGATATATATGGTATATATTTGTACCTCAGGACTTTTTCTCCTTCTTGTTTGTTTGGAGTTTTATTGGTGGAATTGGTGTGTTACCGCCCCTTAGTGGTAGAGAGTGGATACAGCAAGGTTTTCAATATGATAGTTTTCAAACAAAAAGCCCAGACAGAAAGATTTTAATAATAATAATAATGTCATCACAATGTCAGCACTGTATGTTTCCATACAATGGCGAAATTAGTCTCTGCATTTAACCCATCCACCACCAGGTGGTGCAGTGGGCAGCTATTGAAAGCGCCCAGGGGGCATTTTGGGGATGAGGCGTGCTGCCCAGAGACAAGTGGCTCATAGTTATATTGTTTTGTTTTTTGTGTGTGCCTTAAAAAAGTTGCTCATTTGTTGCATAAACCCAGATGTCCGGCTTGATGTCCTTCCTTTGGTTTGTAAATTCAACTGCTTACTGAATTATTTTGGTAAATTAAAAGTATATGATAGAAATAACTGAAACTTTAAACCCTAAAAAGGTACTTCAAAACTTAAAAGCATGAAATCTAACATAAAAGATGATCTGAACCATATCAAACGGTGCAGTTTGAAAGAGTTTACAAGATTCCCAGATATATTGATGTAAAATTATGAAACTGTGGTAAACAAATCACTTTAATCTGGATATTTTGTGCAACAAATCTTAATAAAACACATGAAAGCTGTCAAAAGTCTTCATCCTGAATGGCTCTTTTGTGGACTTCACTATTGACCTGTTTCAGCAACTTCGGCTGTTTCCACAGGTAAACAAACGTATGTGGAGGAAAAGGGGCCTACAGTTTATTTATTTATTTATTTTGGAGTGGCTATTGCCCCCTTTGGTCCCCCTTCTTTATGGTGCCCCTGCTAACTAAAATGTTCTGCCATTAATTAAACTATTGCAGTAATTATATAACACATTAACGGGAAAAAGCAACTGTTTGATTCCTTGTTGAACTTGTTCTTCTATTTTAAAACTTATAAAACTATTTCAGATTTGAGGTTGAGGAGTGGGTTATAGTTTTTACCATTATTCATAATGTCTAATACTCCTGCTGTCTTTAGACAGACTTTTAAAAAAAAACTATTTATGTCTCCAACAAAACTTGGTAACCAGTCGTCCCTCATGCTGGTTCTGGTTCTGCAGCATTCCTCACTGCTTCCTTTTGCAACAGGTCGTGTGTCTATCTGGAGAAACCTTACTCGTCTTGTTTGATGATATTTCCTGTTCTTTTGCCCTGCCTATTCTTTTTTTCCCTCGTAAACTCAAGTTTCCTTGATGAGGTTTCACAGATTTATTTCCTCTGTGCATGCAGATGGTTCAGGTGAGTAAGATTTTGATTTTCTCAAAAACTAGACGTACATGTTAAATATAGACAATAAAACAGAGCGCATGGACTCGTGTTATGAGATCACTCTACTAGTATTTTTGCTAGTCGGATGGTAAATAGACAGCTTACTACATGTATAAGTACATGTAAAGATATACGTTTATCTGGATAATTTGATGGTTTAAAAAAACAACACATCCTAATTAAAATATTAATTGAAACCTTCCAGTTGTTTATTTAGGAAGCTGAAACAGAATGTGAACGTCATAAAGCAGCAAATAGTTTGAAATAAACAGTTTTAAAATAATTTTTAGTGTTTTTGAAGAACGTTCACCTTTTAAGATAGAAAAACTGAAGCTTCTCTTTGCATTTTAGCTGCTCTGTCTCTTAAATCAGCTAAATATTGTTGTTTCATGCTAATACTTCTTGTTCATGTTAAATAAGAAGTTACATAGATGCTTTTTTCTGGAGGGTTGTGTCTGCATGTGTTCGTTTATCTGTTAGCATAATATCTCCAGAACGGATGGACAGATTTTAATGAAACTTTCTGAAATTATTCATTGGATGACGACTAGAACTGATTAATGTTTGGAGTAAACCCATCCCAAGACGGCTGTCACAGAGTAACACAAAAATGGATGTAACTCAGCTAATTGTATAAATATTGAGCTGAACTTTGGTGTGGTAGTAGCTGAGAGTCATTCACAATATGCTCTAGTGGTAACTGATCTGTGTTTAAAGGAGGTCCGAACATGTCTGGACCTTCTTTCTTTCTCATCTTAAGATCTTAAGACTAAAAATCTGACATGGAGGGTGATGGGCGATATCCGGGTTTATTAACCAATAACAGACTGATTATTATAGGAATTCAGTCATTAGGTTATTAAAGTTGTGCTCTCTTGGTTTATTAAATCTCAACACTTGAGGTCAGAATTTGTTAAATTACAGGGAAATTTCAATCATTATTTATACATAAAGAAATCAAATTTGCCTTTCTTAAATTCAATTACAAAAATAAACAAAATCAAAGTAAAAATCAACGACGAACAATAAAATCACCACAAGACTAAATAAACTAACACTAAGAATTTGGGGAATAATGTGAGAAATTGATCATGAAGATGTGCCTGACTATGACCTCTGACCTTTAGGTTGTTTACCAGACTCAAGTGCAAGTTAAAGTAGGTTTATTGCCATTCTCACCACATGTGGTACATGAGGTGGGACAAAATTATGTACTCAGGGTTCCAGTTACACCCAAAACAGCAAAAAATATAAAGTATAAAATGAAGTATATAAAGAAACAGTATATAGGATCTAAGATATAAGCTAAACAAACGCCAAACGGTACGCTAAAAGATCTAAGATATACCAACATTTTTCAGTCAGGTCATCTGGACAGTTTCTTTTTTTTTTGTGCTGAAATATTTCGCCTTCAATCCAGAAGGCTTCATCAGTCAAGGAAACACACAACACAAAACTGATTCTTCTCCCAACAGCTTACTCCAAAGTGGAACAAACCAGTTATGTTGGTGCTAAGATGGTGCTGTCATGTTCCTCAACCTCCTTCCTGAGGGGAGTGGGGCATAAAGTGAGTGTGCTGGGTGAGTGTGGTCCTTCATGATGCAGGTGGCTCTCTTCCTGCATTTAGAGGTGTAGATGTCTGTGATGGTGGGGAGACTAACTCCAACATCTTCTGTGCAGCCTTCACCACTCTCTGCAAAGCTTTTCTTTCTGCAGCTGTGCAGCCTCCATGCCACATGTTGATGCTGGAGCACAGGATGCTCTCCACTGCACACCTGTAGAAGGAGGTGAGAACTGAGCTTCCCAGACCAGCTCATCTCAGCCGCCTGAGGAAGTAGAGTCTCTGATGAGCTTTCTTGATCAGGCTGGTGGTGTTGTTGCTCCAGCTGAGGTTGTCATGCAGGTGTACACCCAAGTACTTATAGCTGGAGACCACTTCCATGGCAGATCCTTCTATGATCGGGGGGAGGGGGGACGGGGGTTTGCTCCGTCAGAAATCCACAACCATCTCCTTCATCTTCTTCACATTGATGTGGAGGCTCTCCAGGTGTTCCACCTGTAGCTGGACTCATCATTTTTGATGCATCCCACCATCGTTGTATTGTCTGCAAACTTTACAATATGACAGCCTGGATGGGTAGGTGCGCAGTCATATGTGAGCAGAGTGAACAGGAGTGGGCTCAACACACAGCCCTGAGGGGAGCCAGTGCTGAGGGTTATGGTGGAGGAAGAAAAGTTGTGGATCGTATATAAACTATACTGTGTCACACAAAGTTTCTTTCAGTTCATCTGTTTTCCCCGTCCTGATGTGTTCGTCTGATGTCCGTCTTTGTTTATTTCTGAGCAAAGAAAACAACAAGTTTGCTCAGTTACAATTTTTGTTAGAAGCAAAGTAGAGTTCTAGTAACTACAGAAGATAAAACGTTGTTTATCTCACTGTGAGACACATTTTTGGCTTAAAGTGTAAGTCTGCTGAAGGTTGCTGATTATCCACACATTCTCATCAGCTGACACACCAACCCTGAAGCAGTCACAGTGACTTTCAGCTACCTCGGGCAGTGCCTGGCTAGTCCTCTCCTCGTGGTGTACCCTGGTCTGATTGGCCAGCAGAACCCTGGAAAAACAAGTGAGCTTGAGCCCTCAACACTGACCCAGTAAGGAGCTGAGACCTGGTGACATGATGCAACTTTGGGTCTGTTTGCAACTTTTAGCTGATGCAAACTGATAAATCATTTCCTGGCTTGCAGTGATAATAAATGACTTGATCTGGTCACATTAAATAACTTCTCTGCACCAAAATCTCATGCGAACTATTTATCAAATAGTTAAACTTTGTCTAAATTTATGCGCGTATAAAAGCCAAAATAATTCCTGCTCAAAGAGTTAATTTAGCCTGAAATAAAAGATAATTAACCCCTGACTGATTGGTTAATGTTTAGATTGTTCTTTATTCTTTTAGTAATTACTTGACTACTTTTTCAAACTAGTTATTCTCCAAATTATTATCCTTAATCATAGTGTCACACTTCTTCCTCCAATCACTCATATGTGCTACATTTTAACAAGAAAGTACCAGTAACGATCAATCCTTTAGGGATCTAAAGTAGAATATTGACTCAATTCAATTAATTTATCTAAACCAAAAATAATAGTTTGGACAGAAGGTTGATTAGGATTTACTCCTGCAAGGTCTTAGTTTTGGAATTTGGATAAGGATGTTAATAGTTCTGCCAGATTGTGAGTTTATTTTCATAAGACAACAGGTGAGGACCAGTAGTACAAGTACAAAAAATTGACATAACTCAGTTATTTTTACAGCTACTGAGCTGAAATTTAGTGTTGGAGTAGCTAAGATTCATCAACAACACATACTCTGAGCACTAACTGATCACGTGAGTGCTTTGTCAAAGCTTTGGCATGCAAGACGGCAGGTGTTGTACATTCTTTACATTTTATTTGTTTTACTTGAATAGTTATAAGATGCCAGTGGGTTCATTCCTCATTCATAAGTCAGCAAATGACTTGGCTGGATGTGAAGACAGGCAGCAAAGAAGGAGTTTCTTACTGACAGGATGAACAATTGTCTGTTGCCTTTAGGTGTCACCTTAAATTAGGAACCTGTTAGATCAATCTAATTGGTTATGTTATTAAGAAATGACAGTGTAAATGTGCAACAGAGGAACAAACTACCAAAGTTCACTTCAATACTGGGGTTTCAAAATACACTTTTACTCATTTACTGCTCAGCTTCTCTGGGAAAGTTCATTACAGGGTGTTGAAAGGAAGGATCTGACCAGTTGTTGAACCTTGGTAGCTTTTGTCCGGGTCATGGAACAGTGGACCAGTGGACCAGTGGACCAGTGGACCAGTGGACCAGGTCTTCCCCTTTGCAGAGATCCTAAAGGGGGTCAAAGAGTTAATCGTCCAGTGACAGTCCATGTGTGTATTGTTGACTGTGTTCCCTTATTAGTGGGAGGTTCCTCAAGAGATATGGAGTGTTGAGGTGACATTTACCATGGTTGTCCATTTGGTTATCCATACCCTGAATAACCAAAGCAAGTGCTTTGTCTATATTCTCAAAGCCTATATTCTGGGCCAAGATGGGGTAGAGATAGGGCAGCTGACTTGGGACCAGAAAGTTGCAGTTTGACTCTCAGCCATTCCCAGATGTTGCAGTGTCTCTGAGCAAGACATCCAATCCCTAATTGCTCCCTGGGTGCTTACATAGCTGCCTACTGCTCCACCTGGGCACATCCCAAGTGCGATGGGTTAAATGCAGAGAACCAATTTCGTCATTGCCTGGGAACGTACAATTACAACATATATAGCACTATATTCTATATTCTCGGCACAAAGTTGAGATTGTTTCCAGGGCAAGATCCTCCAGAGCTACCTCTCTGTTGTGTCCATGGTCATGATCTCAAGGCACAATTACAGAGTAGAGATTCCTAATGGGTGCTGTTTCCAAAGCAGATAATGATGGAGATTATTTGGTTCTGATGACATAAGCCATGATCTTCAGCATGAGAGTCAGCTCCTCCAACTTTGATATCATGTTTCTCAATTGGACAAGTTTGAATGCTCCCTCTTGGTTGGGGGGTGAGTCTTTGCTTTATCAATGATGGCAGGAGGGAGCGAGAGATTCACTGGTGGGCTTTGGGTATACAATGAAACTTTTGATTGATCGGTCCATTTACTTTGATACTTCATGGTTGTTATACAAGCTAGAATCCGGTAGCCTTTACTCCTCCACGAACATGACTGGCTCCCACTCAACAAATCTATCCTTGTTGGTGTGATCTGAGCTGTGATACAGCATTGTAGCTTTTCACAGATGATTTCGTGTTTGGATATTTTACAGTTTTGGTAATCTAAAATTGCAGGAACCAACTAATGTTTGGCTACCATCGTCTCAGCAAAAGAGCCCAGTGAGTTATTCAAGATGTCTACCAAGTCCATCCTACCCCCTAAAATTCCTCCAACAGAGCGAGTGGATGAAGTCTACAATGCCTTGAAGAAAGGCCTTCTGTAAGTTCACCCACTGCTATTTGAACATCTAAACAGCAACTTATCTTTAACTTTGAATTCATACTCAACCCCCCCTCAAACCAAAACTATTCTCTGACTTTGCAGGTCTTGCCTTCAAGTTCACCAGACAGACTTGGATAACATCAACAAAGAAATAAGAAAATCTAAACTTAACTCCAGACTGGTATGTTGTGGCAGTTCTAAGGTTGGCTTCACAATAAGTTGGTGTTTTCACTGACGACTTGATGTTTTGTTTTTCTTCTCAGGGGTTCCTTTATGAATTTGACCAGGTGAGCTACTGTGAATTACGATTGTTAAAGATATGAGCCAGACTTGTAGAAACAAGACAATATGAAGTAGACCAGTGGCAGTGGTGGGTACAGCTCACCTAAAAGTTAGCTTAGCTAACCCATATTTTGCTAACTAAAAAAATTAGCTTTGCTAACGTTAAACCACCAAACAGGTAAAGCAAATTAGCTGTAGCAAATGCTGTACCGCTAACTGCTAAGACAACTGCCACTCAGTCTGTGTCACATATCTTTGTCTTCTTCCAGTTGAAGCTGCATCGACCAATCACATCTTGTCACGTGTTCACGTAGTCAGCCAATAGCATGCCTAACGGACTCTTTGAGACACGCCCACAACAGACAGGAACAAGCTTGTGAATGGTCTTGTGAATTTTGTTAGCGGACTTATTGGTGAAACCTAATTTAGCGGAATTTAATTCTGCTAACGGTTTCCAATGTTAGTGAAAACATCTGCTAAACAAAAAAATGTGTTCCTTTATTAGCAGTTACCAGATGAGCAGAACTATAGTCTACTGACTAGTGGGAAAGAATATCATGAACAATTCTGACTTTTCTTTTGACAGCAAGCTAAGGTGATTGAGACGTACATAGGCACATTGGAGGATCACTTCTGCAAGGTAATACCAGTTGGTCAGCATCATCTTCCCCTTTTTATTTTGTTTTGGAATATTTTTTGTCAAATCAAATTTGCGTGTGTCAGGGCGGCACGGTGGCGCAGTTGGTAGAGCTGCCACCTCTCAACGTTCATGTCGCTGGTTCAAATCCCGGTCCAGGGGCCTTTCTGGGTGGAGATTCAATTCAGTTTATTTATATAGTGCCAAATCACAACAAAGTTGTCTCAGGGCACTTTACAGGAACATTCACATACATAAAAAAGCCAATTAGTAAAGTTCTCTATCTTGCATATTCTTTCCGTGCACGCGTGGGTTTTCTCCTGGTACTCCAGTTTCCTCCCACAGGCCAAAAACATGCATGAGAGAGTGAATGGTTGTTTGTCCCATTTGACTCTATGTGTCCCTGTGATGGACTGGAGACCTGTCAGGGTGTCCCCCGCCCCTTGCACAGTGATGGCTGGATATGGGCACTAGTGACCCCCGCAACCCAAAAAGGAAGAAGTGGGTAAAGATGATGGATGGTTGAACTTCTCTGTGGTCATTGATAAATGGACAGTGTTAGTAGGGGGTCCTCTTGATGTACCTGAAGTTAAAGAGTTAATTTTAGAGATTTAAAAAAAGAAAGATTGGGAAACTGGTCAGAGTTAAAGGAACGAATGGAAAATCCACTTTCCAGCTAAACACACAGCAGTGAAGCAATACTCCACTAGTTTAAGGAAAAACTGTAAAAAGTCTTGGAATGATCCAGTCAAATCCAAGACCTTTGGTTTGATTTAAAGATGGTGTCCATTCAGCCTGAAGCAGCTGCAGCAGTTTGGTAATAAAGAATGGACAAGAAGTCCAGGAGTAGATGGACCAAGACATACCAGAAGAGACAGATTACTGTAAAAGCTGCTTTCTATGGAGAAAGTTAATAATCATGCAAGTATTTTTTCTTTTTTTTCTTTTTCTCAGACTGAGCAGATTTATGAATCTTACAGCGAGAAGAGGAAACTGCGAGACGAGGCCAGCAACGTGATAAAGGCATGCAAAGCCTCTCCAGGAACCAAAGAGGCAAAAGAGAGTTTGGTGAAGGCTAATCATGAACACAAGAAATACTCAGAGGTGAGATCAACTGAGTACAGTGAGTAAACAACATTGAGATTGGTGCTTATAATATAACGTGCACAAAAATATAAAGATAATTAGCCACAATTTACTTCAAAGATAGGATCTGAAGGTAATGGTTCGAGTTGAACAAAACTCAAAAATTCCGTTATAGCTTTTCCCAAGACTTTGATTGTTAATAGTAATATTATTAATAAGCCTTTAATTATATAAAACGTTTCAAAATGAAAAAAACGTGTTTAACAGCTATGAAATACAGTAAAACCATTAAAACAATGTATAAACACAATGGTAACAACGCAAATACACAGTTATACCAATAGATTATTCAATGGAAAAGGAGCCCAAGTAGATGGCCACCATTGGTTTTTAGGCAGGATTTTAGAATGATTAGCAATGCCTTAGCTGGTGATCTCACACTTCAGTTTGGAGTATATGGTGTTAAAATGTCAGTTATATATTTAAGGTGGTATATCAAATGGGCTGTGACATTTTAATTGTATGAATCCTGCTCAAAAGTAACAAGAAGAGTATCGAGTATACACCCTTGTGGCACTCCATAGATCATCTTAGCAAGAGAGGACTGAAATGTACAATGGCTACTCTGAAATACTGATCAAGAAAGTTGGGTATTGCCTGGGACTTGAGGTGTAACCAGAAATGTAGAGGGTGATTTGAGAAGCAGAAGATGGGATGTAATGGCGCTTTGCCACTGTCTCTACACTCATCGGTTCTGCACCGCACTGCACAAGTTAAGGGTCTGCTCACTGCCGGTACCCAGCCCCACTCAGCCCAGTTTATGGGACCATTTTGTTCATGGTTCCAAGTGAACTGCTCTGAGGTGACAATTTGGAAGTAAACAGCTGTTGATTGGTCAGCAGAGCTACGCCACTGGATGACCCGCCCCTGATTGCAAACTACATCAGAATCACCATTTCATCTCCTGATCATGTAGTTTTCTTGGTTTGTTTTCCTAGTTTTCCTGTTTCTAGTTCAGGATGGAAGCTCTAAAAACAGTGCCATGGACCAATGATGAGGTCTAGACCTTTCTGTCTTTATTGGCAGATCAGAGAATCAGAGCAAGTTAATAATAATAATGATAATGTGTTATGTATTGTCATTGTATGTTCCCATACAATGGTGAAATTGACTCTCTGCATTTAACCCATCCGCCACTGGGTGGTGTGGTGGGAGGCTGTTGGGGGTGCATTTGGGGATGGGGTGTGTGCTGCTCAGAGACCTCACGTGCAATGACTGGGGATCGAACCTGGGACTTTCGGGTCCTGAGTCGGCTGCCTCTGCCTCTACCCCATCTTGGCCCCCATAAGTTGGAGGGCGCTACAAGAAACAAGCAAATTTATTGTGAGATATCGGAGATGATGGTGCAGGATGACTACACCCGGACCCTTAAGCAATGCTGGGATAAGCTAAAAAAACTGAAGTCAAATTACAGTTACAATACCACCAACACTGCATTGACGATCCTGCCCACAGAGCACTTATCAATGGCAAAACGCTTGAGGGAATCGGGTGATGGACCTTATCTGGACTGAGAAAGGAAGAAGACTCCTAAAAGTGTTGTGTATATTATGATTGTAACTTTGCACTTAAATTAAAGACTTTAATTTGAACAAGTAAAGAAGACAGACAATCTACTAAAAACCATGATGTAGAAAAAGTAAGAAAATACAAATATACAGTAAAATTAGTGGCACCGTAACATATAATATGCATCGATTTTATACTGTAATTGAAAACTGTAACAAGACTAACTGTTTGTGTTTCTGATTCTCTCTGTAGTATATTTATGTAAAGGAGAAAGAGTTACAGAAACAGCTGGGAGAGTTCTCCATTAAAATGAAAGGTAAGAGATAAATACTGTTTGTTGGTCCTCAGAACTCAATTATTAAAGAGAAACATTTTAAAAGCAGATAAAAGCAATACAGTCCTGGCAACTTTTTTAATGTTGGGTTTAAGATGCATCCTGATCTAAAATAACACCAAGGTTTTTAACTTTAGAACTGGAGGCTAAATTAATGCCATCCAGAGGAAGTGAAATGCTGCAAAGTTTAGTCATAAGATGTTCTGGTCCAAAAACAACAACCTCTGTCTTGTTTGAGTTTAAAAGCAGAAAATTAAGGGTCATCAAGGTTTTTATGTCTTTAAGACATGCTTGTAGTCTAAATAACTGATTGGATTCATTGGGTTTCATGGACAAATATAACTGAGCATCATCAGCGTAACAATGAAAATGTATCCCATGCTATTTAATAACATTATCTAATGGAAGCATGTATGAAGTCAAGAGTATTGGTCCAAGCACTGAACCCTGAGGAACTCCATGACTAACTTTAGTGTATGAAGAAAATTCATTAGTGACATTTATGAACTGGAATCTTTCAAATAAATTTGATTTAATCCATTTTAGAGCTGTTCCTGTAATTCCAGTATCATATAATAATAATATTATTATTAATAATAATAATGTTACACATTGTCATCACTGTATGTTTCCATACAATGGCGAAATTAGTTTCTGCATTTAACCCAACCACCATCGGGTGGTGCAGTGGGCAGCTATTGAAAGCGCCCAGGGGGGCATTTTGGGGATGAGGTGTGCTGCCCTGAGACACCACGAGGTATGCAATGACCGGAGATTGAACCTAGGACTTTCGGGTCCTGACCTGGCTTATTCAAGTCTCTGTAGACTATTATGATCAACTGCATCAAAAGCAGTATAGTGTTTACTTTGTGGGCACTGGGTACATAACAGTTACACACACAAACCTGGTACATACCACATAAATACCTGGTACGATCTGGATACGGTACATTTCTGGTATGTACCGGTACTTGTTTTTTGTCTTGTACATGTTGGGTATATGCTGGGTACATATGCACCATTTACCCTGTAAGTACAAAGTTATGTCAAGTCACTTCTAAACACAGCCCATTTACCATAGGTACCACGTATGTAATGGATGTGTTTGAGGTAACAGGCATGTATGTGGAAAACTTTTCGCTACGTTCCACTTCCTTATGATTGTATTTTTTGTTCCCATCACTTATCGTGTTTGTATCAGCTTTAGTAAATGTGTGGCAACTTATTCTGACTATTTTTATGACCCATGGGCGAAAGGCATTACTATAAATAATAAATAAATAAAGGTTGACTGAATGAATGAATGCAATTTTAGTTGAACGTGTAAGTGTGTTTGTCTGTTAGCAAAAAAACTCATGAACCACTGGAGGAATTTCAATAAAACTAAGAGTAATAATTGTGTGTACATCTACAACTGACTAACTTTTCCAGTCAACCCAAAGCACATCACTTTAGCTAAAACAAAATAGTTACAACTCAGTCAATTTGACAGAATTTGAGCTAAATTTTGATGTTAAAGTGGTCGGGAGTCATCCCCATCACGTGCTGGCCTTTATTTTCTGTTTACACTCGACTGTGGAAGTGACTCTAAAGGTGACTTCATTGTTTGTTTTTTCACCTGTTCCTCAGGACTTGCTGGATTTGCCAGATTGTGTGCTGGTGATCAGTATGAGGTTTGTCTCTGCTTTCTTTTCTCACATTCAGATAACTTATTGCTCATAGGTTAACCAAAATGACATTAAATGTTTTATAATTTACAGCAAAACCTTGTAGTAAAGTTAAATAAACTTGACATTGTCACGAAACAGAGCAGTCAGCAAACATTAAAAAAAGACAAAAATATGTCAGGTGTTTAATCACAAAGCTGTTCTTTTTAGCACTCTTTTTGTTAAATTTTCACATTATCAAACGACAAACAAACACCGGGTACATACTCTTACGATGTAATAAAGGACAAACAAGAAATAAAAAACAAATAAATAAATCTCAGTTCAGATTGATCTGACATTCTGCAAAAGTTAAGAAATTATTTGAATCATACAGCCTTATAAACCAAAGTTAGCCAGATTGTTCTCACTAATCCAGCTTGAATATGTAGGCGGAGCTGCTGATTTCCAATTTATCACTATTTCCCTCCAGTCCAGTGAGTTGTGATGCTCTTAGTTCGTTTACACCAAAACGATTTATGGTGAAAATGGAAGAGTTTCGTTGCGTTTGTACTGTAAACACGAAAATAGCTCATGTTTTCTCTGGCAACGGCACAATTTGAGAACGCGTTCCAGAGTACAAAGTTTCAAAAACGTCCCGGTGTCCGTTGCCATGTAAACAGAAAAAATAGATGTTTTCTGTCGGAATCCCTGGCTCGTGCGCAGTATGACGCAAAACATAACCGCTTCCTACAATCCACAGAAGAAGAAACTATCGACAATGGCGAATACCAGAGTATTGTTTGTGCTTCTGACTCTTATAAATCACCAAGTCATCTGTCCATAGAAATGTTTTATTCTCTGCCATCTCGACCGTTTCAGGTAGAACGTTTTTTTTACGCATGCGCACTTAGTTTCAAAGTTTCAAAGAACATACCACCAACTTGTAGCGTGGCGAGGGAATTACACCTTTTCCACGTCTACCGTTGCTGTGTAAACAGAGATTGTAATTAGAACGTTTTCATGTAAATGTGTTAATAGAAATAGAGAAAATTATCTTTTTCATTGGATCGTTGTCATGTAAACATGGCCTTAGGTTCTTTTTAGGAGAAGTGAGCGTAAGTAAAGTAGATCAAACCCTAAACAAGGCATTTAAGGCGTTAGAAATTTTATCCTTTCAAGTTACGTTTGACAATGTCTAAAAACATCCACGTTAGATTGTCTTCATGGAGAAACAGCTCCAGAACTTGAGTGAGTTATTTGCTATGGTTTGTTAGCGTCGTTCACACAGAGGAGACGCAGCATCCGTCGTTTTCACGAACCTGGTTGGTCTTTTTTTCTCATTAAATATCTCATGAACCAGTAGGCAGATCTGCATGAAACTTTCAGGAGAATAATGATTAGATGTACAACTACAACAGATTAACTTTTGGAGTCAGTTCAGTTCGAGATGACTGCTACAGCTAGTCAACATCAACCAACACAAAAATGGCCACAACTCAGTTTCACAGATGAGCTATGCATCACAAAGTGTGATGTTTCCCATCGTTGGATGAGATTTTACATAAAAACAGAGCAAATATCTGTGCAAACACATACGTTTGTGTTTATTAAGAATCATTAATTGTGTCTGCATTTAGATCCTTATAAAGTACGGTCGGCAGCGATGGAAGATGCATGGAAGTCTAGAAGTCAACGCCAAACAAACGTGGGACAATGAGCAGACGGTGTTTTACCCAATCATCCAAGAGTTTATTTCCGTGAAGGTTAGTGTCCGTTGGCGATCTCTTCTAACGACTTTGGACTTACAGTATTTATGGTTGGCTTTAACAAAGATCTTTGCGGTTTCTCAGGTGACGGAGCTAAAGAGCGTAGCCAATCATGTGGTCATAGGAAATATTTTCTGTGAACCCGTAGACCTGTTTACTCCACTACCCAGGACGGTTGCTGTGAATGTTAATGAGTCCGGAACGATTAAACTGGTTCTTGAAGTCACCTGGAAGTAAGTTTTGCAACCTGTTCTAGTCGAGACCTGATAAGATGCCTTGTAGACTCCTTTAATCCAGTCCATTTTTGAATCTACACAAAGACATTCTTTATACGATTTTTACCATCTGTCTTTCCTGTACCCATTTGTTTTTTTTCTTCCTCCACTTCCTAAACACAACCTGGGATTAATCTCCAAACGTAATCCAACCCCTAGTCCAGTTTCGGGTCCCTGCCCAACTTTACCACCAGGTTCATCACAAAGTCTACCACCAGGTTCACCACCAAGTCTACCACCAAGTCCACCAGCAAGTCGACCACCAAGTCCACCTTCATTCTCACCTGTAAGTTTGTGTCTATACTTAATGTGTAAACCTCCAAATATATTGTTTGTCTGAAACTCCTTATAGAAAACCAGTGGAAGCATTTTAATTTATTTTATTGTATTGTTTTTTGCATTTTAACTACTTCTGCTTTTTTTTTTTCTTCAATTGTAGCTCTTTATATGTTAAAACCTTCAGCTTGTTCAGGAGATGGGTGCTGTGAATTGGTTTTAGTCACTTTTTAAACTTTATTTATAAATATTTCCTCCCTGTAGAAATACACAGAGATCCCTTCAATTCCTTCAAAAACTGTTCTCTTTGTCATTTGCTTCATCATATTGTTCAGTTTTTGTCTTGTTCCTTTTTTAGTTTTTAGCTACAGTTCTGCTATCGTTAACTGTTAGCCATTCTTACGCTAACTTTAGCTTTTAGCTACTGCTTTGCTATGTTAACATTTTAGCCAGACTTCTGATACTTTTAGCTAGCTTTTTGCTACTTTTATCTTTTGTCTAGGCATTGCTACTTTTGGCTTTAAGCTAACCTTTTATGTCATTTATCTTTTTCTGCTTTTAGGTTTTAGCTAATGTTGTATAATGTCATCTTTTCATACTTTTAACTTTTAGCTAGGCGTTGCTAGTTTTAGCCTAGCTTTTGCTATGTTTATCTAGCTTTAATTTTAACTTTCATCTAACTTTAAGCTTTTTTTTTTTCACTTTTAGTTTTGTACTTTTAGCTTTAAGCTAGCCTTTTGCTACTTTTAGCTAGATTTTTCTACTTTTAGCTTTTAGTTAGTCTTGTGCATCTTTTAACTAACGTTTTGATAAATTAAGCTTCACACTACCATTTTGGTATTTTAACTGGTGTGTGCTACTTTTAGCTTTTAGCTAAGCTTTTGCTAATTTAAACGTTTAGGATCAGAATCAGAATAAGCTTTATTATCATTGCACCGAGGTACAACGAGAATATGTCCGTACAGTCGTCCGAAAGATGGACGGAGTGCACACAGCTGCTGCTATAAAGCGCGGCCTTCTTATCCTTTATAGAATACATTTTTTTAGATAGAAAAAGAGACAAAGCCATGAGGAGAGGATATAGTGACATAAAAAGATCTCTTCAAACTTTGTCCTAACAGGACACAATTTAAGACATCAAAAAAAACCTCTGCCAGCTAAGCAAATTTATGAACACGTTACATATGCATTTAAAATGAGGTGGTCCATGAAGCACTAACAGATAGTCCATTGTCCTGATAAGATGGTGGTTAGCAAACAGAGTTCTGATAAGCCTCCACAGGTGCGATAGACAAAGCTTTTCCTTAGTTTACACATTTCCCAGGAGAAATTGATAAGTCGGCCTGTTTCGAGGCCAACCGGGGATTCAGATAATCCACAATTGTTGATTTATTCAGGCAGACTATTTTTCCTTGTCAGCCTTGAGTCTGTACTGATACTTCCAAGGTCCAAAATGGCCAGATTAGGGTGCATTCTACTGGTCCGTGCTTACGAGTCTCTTCAAGGTCGTTTTCATGCGGATGAGTCCCAAAGCCGCAGGTGGCCTGCGATTCAAATCGCTTCCAACTTACGGTTTCGCTCGTAAATCAGCTGATTTTGAGTCCTCAAAGCACGAACCAACCTTCACATGGGCAGCAGCCCGACCAGGCCAGATTAGCTGCGGCCATCTTCTTTGTACGTTGATAAACCAGGATCCAGACTATTCCAAAAACAGAAAACCTGTTGTCATAACTTGAATTGTATGCAATTTTGGCGTCCTCGATTGATAGCAGAGGTAGACACATCACTCCCAGAGATTTATCCAGCTGCATGTGTGTCGTCCGAGCAGATGAAGGTTCTCCAGGACCCTGTCACTTTGTTGAAAAGAATTTGTAATATACGTTGAAAGTCCAATTGGTCTGATCCAAAACAGTAGTTTCCATTTCGGAAGATGTGTAAAAAGAGGAGCTGCTCTGATACAAAGACAGAGCAAAAAAAGCAGGAGGAGAACAGGGAGAAGCGCGTGCGCCTCATTACAGAGCCAGTGAGGAAGAAAAAAACCCGTTGTTTTTAGCTAATCTTTTGCTGCTTTTAGCTAACATAGTGTTACTTTTACTTTTTAGCTTGCCTTTTGCTACTTTTTACTTCATACTAATGTTTTGCTGAAGTAGCCATTTTTCTACTTTTAATTTTAATTAGCTGTTTGCTGCTTTTCAGTTTCAGCTGCACTTTGTAACTTTTAGTTACTTTTTTCCCTGAGATTAGCTTCTTCATCAAATTTTAACAAAGTCAGTTGTGACTTCAGTTCATCTCACTGGTACCTGTGTGCAATAATCTGTCACACAACATTTGTAGTTATTATGTGCATCATGTACATTTAAGCTAATACTACCTGTGAAATACTTATTTATACTAATTCATCCCACTTTCACCATTACACTATTCTACCATGTTGTCTTTTACTATATTTATGTTGGACCTTGAAATATGATATTTCTTTTTCACTTTTTGGCACTTTATTTTGTACTCTCTTGCATGCTTTAGTGTTTCTTGTTTGTTAGTTTTTTTCTTAGCGAGTCGAATCGTTTCATCCTGAACATTTCACTGCATCGTTGCCTTTGTGTTAACCTGCATATGACAAATAAACAACATAACAGTGGTTAGTGTCTGCACGGACTGTTACAGAAATGCGGTTTCTTCAGTTTTTGGATTTCTGGTCTGACAGACTTCCTGTGTCAAACGTAAATAAAGCGTCTAAAAGAAACAACCTGAAAGGTCCTCTTTAAGACTAGAAATGAACATTTTGAGTTACTGCGTCGAACAACTGGTTCCTCACAGCTTCAACGCAAACAGCAGATTCATTGTTGACTTCTTTAACGACAGTTCTGTTTTTCTGTTTATTCTGAGTAAGCAGAAGTCACTGTGCACACTTTCTTGCTTCCTGTCTGGCTTTAACAAACAACAGCTTTTAAAACTTTGCTGTTCTCCTTCAGAGCCCGGATCCATCCGGAGGCTCAGGCTCGTCTGTTTCGTTGGAACCGGTCCTTTTCTCAAGATCTCCTAAAGAAGTGTGCACACCTCTGCAAGGCATCCCTCTGTCTGAGAATGTAACACAAAACAGACCTTTATTTCCACCCTGTAGGACGTTCTTCACAATTATCTGAACATGTTTTATTTTATTCTATGAATGAAACTGGACCTGGGCATTCAGCCAGTGGATCCCCCGGCACATGTGAAACCAAACTGTTGGCCCAGAGACGGTGTCTTGGTGGACAACGGGCTGCAGGACGCTCTGGAAATTCTCATTTTCTCTCTAGACGAATACACGGGACATTTTGCCGATTTGAAGATGCTGGAAGACGAGCTAAAGCTGCTGCAGCAGACACTGAGGGTAAAGCTGAGGAACAAGACGAGTACTTCACTGAAGATAAAATTTATTGTGTTTACTGTTGCACATGTGACGCACGCTTTTGTTTTTAGCATGTCCACAAATATACGGTTTACTGCAATGATCCTTCTTACCTGTGGTCTGACTGTACCTTTGTGTGTCGCTGCAGGGCTGCAGGACCAGCCCCCCACCCAGCAGGGCATCGGGCAGCTCAATCGACACACGAATCTACGAAGAAGTGGGGTAAGAGACGAGTTTCATTGGAGCCAAAATGGCAGATCATCGTGGACAAATGACTCAGTTTCTTTCATGTTTTTGCCTCCAAGGAGCCAGACTTAGCTTTTAATCTTTTAAAGTGATATTTACCTTGTTTTCTGACTTTCTTAAAGTCTTTACATTTTTTTCTTTGGCAAGTGTTCATCTGATTGTTCTTTGAGAATCAGCTTGTTGCTAAAATACGTTTTGAAATCCTGTCAAACTGTGTTATCTTTGATAACACAGATAACACATCCTGAGCATGCATCAGGATGTGTTATCTTTGGTATTTTTATCAGAACAGATCGTGTCTTTGTGGCAGGCAGCTGGAAACAAAGATCCTAAAGATTTCTAACTATGTCGTCTGTGTTGACACGTCACTGGTTCATTTCCTGGTTTAGGGGACTTTTCATTCCTGAATGATGGTTGCTTCATAAACAAAAAAAAAAACATCCATAAATGTTCAGGTCTTGTGCTGAAATTAAGAAAACACAGTCAATGTCCAAGAAGAATTTTAAAAGACCTTCAAAAAGCTTGAAGAACCATTGATCTGGACAAGAGGTGTCCATTCCTGGTCTTAAAGGGCCACTATCTTGCAGGTTTTAGATGCTTCTCTGCTCCAACACACCTGGTTTGAATGAAAGGATCAACAGGCTTCATGAAGAGGTAATTCAGACACTGAATCAGGTGTGTTGGAGCAGAAAAACAAGTAAAGCATCCAGGATTAGGACTGAACACTGAGCTACACCATTTTAAATTAACACGTTTGTCTGCTTTTGTGCCTTTTTCCTGTGGGGTCCCGCAAGGCTCCATTCTTGGACCCCTTCTGTTTTCACTGTATCTGCTCCCCTTCGGGTCTATCCTGAGGAAACATGGTCTTTTGTTTCATTATTATGCTGATTCTCAGATTTATCTGCCCTTCAAACCTAACAGTTCCTGCTCCATTCGCCCTTTGCTAAAATGTCTTGACGACATCAAGACTTGGATGGCTACGAACTTCTTGAGTTTTAACGATCAGAAAACCGAGGTCATTGTGTTTAACTCTAGTTTTAAAAAGTTTAAAACATGGGGCAGTTGTGTTAAATACACCCAAAATGCTTACATAAATCCAAGAGATAGTACAAAAAGTTACTAAAGTACAATTTGGAACATTAGTAACATTAACATTTTCAAATACATATGTTTTTTAACTTAATTAACTGCTGAAAAGTATTGGATACATGTATTTGTAATATATTTTTAAAGTATGGTTTAAAAAGAAAATTTTACAAATATATTCAAAGTGCATTTTACAAAAGTTTATATGAAGTTTAATTTTATAAATCTTTTATATTTTGCAAAAAATGGTACTTCATAAAGTGTAACAAAATGTATTTTATAACAATGTACTTGAAGTATATTTAGATAACTCTGTTTATTTTACGTTTTCAATATAATCCTAATAAGTGCATTTAATTGAGAACATATTTTAATGTATTTTTTGAAAATTAAACCTACTTAAAATATACTTAAGTACATTAAATTTTCACCAGGGCAGCCTGGCTATTAGGAACTCATAGATTTGAGCACATTTCACCGGTTCTGTCCTCCCTTCACTGGCTTCCTGTGCGTGTCAGAATTGATTTTAAAATTCTCCTGCTGACATTTAAGTGCATTCATGGCCTCGCACCCTCATACATCTCTGACCTATTTCAACCAGATGTTCCTTCTCAGGCTCTGAGATCATCTGACCATCTGCTTTTGGATGAAGCTCAGAGGAGATCGAGCCTTTTCAGTCATGGACCCTAAACTCTGGAACAATCTGTCCATCAACCTCAGACAGGCCGCTTCAGTCTCTGCTTTTAAAACTCTCCTGAAAATGCATCTGTACTCACTGATGTTAGCGTGATCGGATTTAGATGTAGTATTTCATTGTTTATGATGTTTTGTTTTTTTATGTTTTTTATTCCAGATGCTGTATTTATATATTTTAATTTGATGCTGTGATTAAGCACTTTCGCAACAGTTTCAGTTAAATGTGCTCTATAAATAAATCTGACTTGACGTGACTAACACAACATTCAGAAACATATATCATTCTAGATTTTAGCACATTGTCAGACATTTCACAAAATATGTGACTAATATGTCATTTTGTGTTAGTTTCAGCCCTCTTTCTGCTTTTCTTTCAATAAAATGCTTTGTAGCATTGAGTTTCTAACCAGGTTTTCTTGGTGAATCAATATAAACCTTTTGATAAGCTATTATTTTTTATTTGTTATAAGAGTTTTAAAAAGCACCTTTTAGAAATGTTATCTTTACGCTTGAACCGTGGCGAGCAGAAGGTTGAGAAAAATGTTTTGTTAAACATCTGTTTCAATGTTTTTCAAGCAAAAAAAAAAAAGGATGTTATTTATGGTTATAACCATTTGTTTAAAACAAACTCTAACATAGACTGACACTGACAACCTGCTCTCAGGAACGTTCATTTATGAAAAGTTTTTCCAGAAAAACCTTAAGTAAAATAAAATTCCAGAGATATCAATCAAAGTATTGGACTTACGATGTGGTCTGACGTGAGCTTTTTTTTTGGTGAAAATGTCTGCAGAGACCCTGCAGGGTTCACCAACGGGTATCTTCACCATCAGACACCCCCCCTCGATACACCCCCTCTACATCGAGGCCGGGCCGGCTCCTCCTCGCCCCTCACCACCGGCTGCACCAGACTGGACAACTCTCTGGTCATCCACCTGCAGAACTGCAGTGCACAGCTGTTGGTAGGATTTCTGCACCGCTCTTTACCCTCAGGCCTCAGAGGTCATTTTGAACCAAAGACAGCAGGAGAGTGAAACAGTGCATCACTTTCAGACTCTAATTTTACCTTCAATGAAGCAGCGGTTCCCAAACTTCTCAGCTTTTGATCCACGCACTAAAAGCTGCAGAGACTCGTAACTCTGACTGTTGGTGGTAAAGTAGACCCACGTTGCTTTTAATCCATTTAACGAAAGCCTCATCTACCAATACCTTATATTTATCCATTAATGACCACTAGTTTGTGTTAATTAAAGTCTAAATATGCAGCTGACAATCATTTTTAAAGTGATTATGATTATTATGGTCTTCTCAGCAGCACATTCAGGCCATCAGAGATCCAAATGAGCATAAATGGAGTTTTGGACAGAAACGATTCTATCAACATAAAAGCACAAGTTTCTATTTATGAGTTTGGACACAGAGAATTGTTTTAAACTCAAAATGAGACCGTTTGCTTCTTTGCAAAAGTAAAAACTAGGTTTCGTTTTGTTAAAGGTGTTGAGACATCGTAAACACTGTTGTTAGGACGAAGACTTTAAGGCTCCTGGTTGGTGACACGTCTCATTCTGTGCGCAGCACCTGGGTGTGTCTGGTCCTCTGCAATGCCGAGCCACGTACGCCTTGGACAAACTGCTGAGAGAGGCTCGCGTCTTTAAAATCATCCATCACATCATCAGGGATGACCCACACCGCCTCAAACATCCTGCCCAAGGTACAATAATGTGCTTGTCAGACGTGTTAGCCAAATATCTCATGAACTATTGGATAGAGTTGAATGAAAACTATTGGAGTCAACCTTATTCAAGATGGCCTCCACAGCAATATGCACACTTTCAATGATTTCTAAACCTTTTTTAAGATTTATAAATACTATACTTCAATATAAAATGCTAAGTAGTGAAAACAATTTCTTGAAAACTTGACCCCAAAGGCAACAAAAACAAAGAAAAGTAGAATGGAGCCTTAAGGAAGATGCATTTGAGCTGATAGTTAACTCCCATGTATTCCATGTGTGTTTGTTTGAGAGCGTTTTAATTTTTATTTTATTACGCTCACTGCTCTTGTAAATAAACACGTAACAGCTCATATCTTGTTAAAAATGTAGCACTCTTTAGGTGTTTTCTTGGTGCCAACATGACGGTAAACCAGTAATTTTTCAGGGAGACTCGGCTGCTAGTGCGCGCACACAGGAGGCTCCTGACGTAAACACCTACTCACCTTCAAAATAAAAGCGCAGCAAAAGCCAGTTATAACTGAGCAACTAATTTTCTTGTAACTTAGCCACTTGTACAATAAAAATATACATATATATATTATTGCTACCTGCTTTGTCCTTTGATGTCCTTTACCTGCTCTTACAGTGATACCAGAACTGGACCTGTGTGGTGGAGCCGTGCCGCTATGGGAACGGTGTGTGGGGGATAGCTGTCTGTACTGCGTCTCTGCTAAAACGTTCATGAGTACGCTGTGTACACTTTACTCCGGTATGCTGAGTGAGAGAGCAGACACAGGTAAAACACGTGTGTGCGCACGGTTCACGATGGTGTGTATGCGGCAGGTTAATACTTGTGTTTTTCCAGTGCTTTCGTGTCTGGTTGAGCGAGTTCTAGATCAGAGGTTTCCACAGCGAGGCAACAGAGACGGGCCGGTTGTGACTCTGTTCCAGCTGTGGAGTTACTTGGAGTCCAACGGCATCAGCGATATGGAGTTTCACATCATTGCTCTTACAGAAGAAGGTAAAAACAGGAAAATACGCGCTAGAAAACGACAGTGCTTGTCAGAATTTATGCATCCCTAAGGTTTTAGTACAGAAATTCAAACACCAGAAGAAAATATTCCAGTTCTGGAAAAGAAAAAAATATATTATTGAATTATTTTGAGTGTTTTTCTTTCATTCGTAATTGTCCAACAGTGGAATTGGTGCAGAACCTTTTGTCGAGGGACCAGGATGTGATCGTAGAGACTCTGCACCTTCCTTCAGAGTGCAGCCTTCAGAGAGAAGGGATGCAAACCATGGCAAAATTACTGACAGATCCACGACAAAAAGTGTTGGCCTCCGCCAGCTCGGTGCTGAGAATCCTGGCTGGTCAGCACAAGCAGAGAGAGCAGGTGATGGACGCATGGACTCCTATTTAGAAACATTGGTCTCTTCCACGTCACATACATACTGTAGATACCAGCATCAGCCTTGGACTTGGTGTACTGAAGACAATAATCTCTGCATATGTTGTGCTTTACTTCTTCAGGCTTTGGTGAACTGTTTGGAGATGCTGGAAGACAACGACGTGGACACCAGAGTTTGTGGATGCAAAGCCTTGGCGTGCCTCAAGGTCAGTTTGCCCAACTACCCAGAGCGTCTCCAGCTGGACAAACAGAGGTTTTATGAGACCCGTTGTTCCTGTTGATTGGTTCAGGAGTGTTCCTATTCAAGGAGGATGTAAGCAAAACGTGACATCGTTGCTTGAGGGTATAGATTTTGATGTCTGAAACTCAAAAACCCACATCAGTTAAATTTTCATTGGCAGCTATACAACTCAATTAACATCAGAAATAAAATATTTATGAAATCATTCAACAGACGGGGAACTTGTCCAGGATCTACCACATAAAACTGAGCCTAAAAGAGGCCTTGATGCACTATAGAAAAACAGCAGATGAGAGAAGTCTAAAGGTTGTATCTGACTGGGCTGTGACTGCTGTGGGTGAACTACTGTAGTTGGCAAACTCCAAAATTTAAAATGTTTGAAACCAAGACGTTTTTGAACATGTTTCTCTCAAAATACTGGGTAGTCGTGTTTTTTTTTTTTTTTTTTTGGAAAGGTTCTGAAACCCATCTCAATTTAGTCTCTGTAGGTTTTAGAGGTCCAGATCTGGCTTTGAACACATGTGAGCTATTCTCTGACAGAAAACATCCGAGGCCACAGCCCTGAAAGTCCAGATCTAAAAACCACATAGATGAACAAAAATAACTTCAAAATGCCTATCCACCTATTTTCATTCTAAAGTGTACTCTGGAATATTACCACACCACTTTATTTATGAAGCACTTAAAAACAGCAACAAGGCCAACCAAAGTGATACAGAAAAAACAAACAAGCAAAGGACACAGGATAAATAGATCCACAGAGGTAAAGATAAGAAACTAAATGACTGTAGAATGCAGACAAATTAAAATCAGATCACACAGTGTCAAAAGTCAGGGAATAAAAGTGAGTTTTTAAACAAGTCTTAAAACAGTGACAGGGAGCCTGTCTGACATGCAGTGGTAACTCATTCCACAGTTTTGGACCTGCAACAGAGAAGGTCTTGTCACCTCTGAGCTTAAAACGAGTGCCTGGAACCAATAAAAGCATCTGGTCTGCTGACCTCAGAGAGCGCTGTGGGACATATGGCTGCAGCAGATCAGTGAGATAAGAGGGGGCAGAACTATTAAGCAATTAAAAAAACATACAGAAGGATTTTAAAATGAATCTGAAAGTGAACCAGGAGCCAGCGAACGGAGGCCAGAACGGGAATGATGTGTTCTCTTTTGCCTGTACCAGTTAAAAATCAGGCTGCAGCATTTTGTACCAGATGTAAATATGCAATGGCAGATTGACTGATTCCAAAAAGAAGTGCATTGCAGTAATGAAGCCCGGATGTTATGAATGCAAGTTTTACTGTGTCAAGATTACTTTTGGACAGTATGGGCTTCAATTTAGACAGTTGCCTCAACTGAAAAAAGCAGGATCTAACAATCATTCATTCAACCTTTATTTATGCAGGTTACTCCCATTGAGCCTCGGGGACTCATTTACAAGAGAGATCTGATTTTAACAAAGAGTGACGACAACAATGGACAACAACGACAACAATAGACAGTCATAAAATAGGCATACAAATGTAATCATGTTTACATGACTGTTTAGTTTCATGGAAGGGAATATTGGGCGGTTGTCAGGGTGGATACAACGTGGGCAGAAGCGGACAACAAAATAAGTTGCACAACCTAGAACAGAGTTGTGCGCTCTAAATGAGGTTGTAACTGGAAAAGATTTTTTTGGTCAAAATGCGTCCGCACGGCTCACTGGTCACTTGGTTGCAAAAACTCAGAGAAAATGGAAAATTACCAAACTTTCTCCAACTTCTGAGTCACAAACTGTGTTGTCTAAATCCTAGTAACACCTCGTCAACTTGTCTTCTTTATTTTTGTGTTGATCTTTTTCACTCCAGGCTACAGAAAGCATCGAACAGCTGACGTATCTCTGTGAGACGGACAGTGAGGAAGTTAAAAAAGCCGCCATGCAAACGCTGCTAGAGCTGGGTAACAATAACCGTCATATTTCTGTTAATAATGCAAAGAACCAGGATAAAATCATACAATTAAACTGGTTTAGACTTAATTAAAACAAAGTATTTTTCAGAGCTTAACTCAGTTAAAACACCTCTGTTTTGTTTTTCTCGTGGAGCAGGTGATGAAGGGAAGATGGCTCTCAGACGTTTGGAGATGGCTCAGGACATCTTACCGGACTCTTTGCTCCTAGAACCATGGTTCGACCAGCCTTCTACGAGCGCATACAGGCATCGTTTAAGCAGTGAATTATAATGCACGTTCATTTACTGGGATGGCACCAGAATACCAGTTGCACTGCTGACATCCCACTGGAACATCAGCTTTGTGACCAATACTTTATAACAATCAACGCTACAAGAGAGGACGTCAAGTTTTATTTGCATTTAACCTTTAAAATCAATTTGTTGCATAAACATAGTTTATTAAATGTTTAGAACTTTTGTCAGAGAATCATGTTGTTATTATTGTGTTGAACAAAACAGAAAAAACCCCACAAAGGAATAAAAACGTGAGTAGAATTACATAATACAGCCTTATACTGACTGGGTACATACTGTACTTACAGGGTAGCTACAGGGTATAAAAATGGTACACATTGGGTACGTACCTGGAGCTAATAGGGTATACACCTGGTATTTACTGCGTACTTACTGGTTCTGACAGGGTATGTACCTTGTATTTTCAGGGTACTTACTTGGTGCTTACATGATACCTGCATGGACTGGACTGTATTTTACAATGGCTTGTTACATTGTACTTACAGTGCACCTACCTGGTCCTAACGGGTCGTGCATGTGGTACTTATATGTTAATTACAGGGTATAAACTTGCTACTTACTGAATACCCATGATGTAAGTTCTTGGCACTTACGAGCTATATGCCTAGTACTTTTGGGGTAAGTACCTGATAGTAATTCAATCAATCAATTTTATTTATAAAGCACCCTTCATACTAAAAGCAGCTCAAAGTGCTGTACAGAATTATAAACAATAAACCCACAAAATAAAAGCAAACAACACACACATAAAATAAAATAAAATAAAATTGTATGGAAAATGTATAGACTGAACAGAAATGAACCAGTTCAGGAAATACAGTTAAAAAGTTGGGTCTTGAGCCTGCTCTTAAAAACAACAACATTCTGTGCGGCCCTCAGGTTCTCCGGCAGACTATTCCACAGACGGGGGCCATAGTACTGGAAAGAAGCCTCACCGTAAGTGTGAATTCTGACTATTGGAACTGTTAGTAGTCCAGTGCCAGAGGACCTTAGTGTCTGCGGGGGTTCATAGGGTAATAGCAGCTCTGCAAGATAAGATGGTGCGAGACCATTGAGACATTTAAAAACCATTAAAAGAATCTTAAAATCAACCCTGAGATGCACAGGGAGCCAATGCAATGATTTTAAAACAGGTGTAATATGAGCCTGCCTTCTGGTCTTGGTTAACACACGAGCAGCAGAGTTTTGTAACAGCTGAAGGCTGGATACATTTTTCTTAGGGAGACCAGAAAGCAGTGCATTACAGTAGTCTAAACGGCTAGATATAAAAGCGTGCGTCAAAGTCTCAGTATTAGTGAAAGAGAGAAGAGGGCGGACTCTGGCTCTATTTTTAGATGGTAAAATCCTGTTTTGACTATATGTTTTATATGTGGAATAAAAGTAAGCTCAGAGTCAAAAAGAACCCCAGGCTTCTTACTTTTTTGTAAGGTTTTAAAGACAGAGATTGTAATTTCTGAATTGTATTTTCTTTTTGAACCTCCGGTCCAATGATTAAAACTTCTGTTTTGTCCTGGTTTAGCTGGAGAAAGTTCTGTGCCATCCAGGACTTTATGTCTGAAATGCAATTAAAAAGTGCAGTGATTGGCCGGGGGTCATCATGAGATAATGAGATGTATAGCTGTGTGTCATCAGCATAACTGTGGAAACTTATCCCATGGCTCCTGATGACTCCACCAAGCAGCAACATGTATGAATTAAAAAGCAGGGGGCCTAAAATAGAGCCTTGGGGGACGCCATAGTTGGCTTCATGGATCTGCGAGGTGCATGTATCCATACTTACCATAAAGGTTCTATCTGTGAGATAGGAGCTGAACCACAGAAGAACAGTACCAGAAAGACCGACCGGGTGTTTTAATCTATTTAGAAGAATTTGATGAGTATGTACCTGATATTTACTGGGTACCTAATGAACATACCTGGTATTTACCAGTTACTTTTTGGGTAGTTAGAGGAACTAAGTTATATTATGCAGTGAATTCTTACATTGTACTTTCAGGGTACACAACCAGTTCATCTGAGGTATGACCTGGTATTTACAAGGACTTAATGGGTAAAAATCTGATACATACCATGTACTTACTGGGTACCTATTAAAGGTACTAAGCTGTATTATGCAGTGAATTGTTACATTATATTTTTGGGGTATATATACCCAGTGCATGTGGGATAAATACCTGGTATCTACTGTTTGTACCTGATACATACCTGGTACCTATTGGGAACAAAGCTGATACCGAATACTTTCTGATCATCTACAGGAACTGGGCTGTAACATGTATTGACTTGTTACACTGTACTTACAGAGTTTTACCTTCATAACCTCAAGGTACCACAATCCATAATTTCTCTAGTTTTTTTTTATTATTATTTTTGTAAGAAAAAACTATAAATGAAAAATAACTTGCTGCTGTGTATAAAGAGTTGTTAGCTTCTTTTTAATCCATGTCACAAGATTCATCTTGTTACGAATAAAAAAACTCTGTGCAGAAAAACACACCAAGTATTATTTCTACTCGCTGTTACGGGCCCACCATATATTCTTTAGTAAAAAAAGATCTTAGAGTTAAAAGTCCATATATACAATTCAGAAGCGGATTTCTGGAAGGTGAGTACATCAGCAGAGTTTGTAGCACATTGGCGACAGTGGTAAGAAATGACTCCCCTTCAACAGAAAGAAATCTCCAGCAGAACGGAGCTCTGGAAAGGCAGCCATCTTCCTCGACCAGCTGGGGTAAAAGAGAACAAGAAAGTGACAGACAAATACAGAACGGCTGGTCCAGATGTAGTTTCTATGATCCAGGTGTTGGTTTTGTGTTTCAGGTGCAGTTTTAATGGTCCAGGTGTAGTTTCCATGGGAAGAAAGGAAATGAAAACCCCATGTTAATGATAGAAATAAGTAGAAATACAAACCTGATGAGTAGAGTAAAGACAGCAGCAGTGTGAGGCAATGTGGTCAATTTGTCCTCCAGCAGCCGAAGTCTAAAGCAGCAGAACTAAAGGAAAGCTCAGGAAACCCAAGTACACTATGAGATTTATCAAAGGAACGTCTTAAGCCTAGCCTTAATGGTAGACACTGTGTCAGCCTCAAGGACAGAAACTGGAAGCTGGTTCCACAGAAGAGGAGCCTGATAACTGAGAGCTCTTCCTCCCATTCTACTTTTAGAAACCCTAGGAACCACATGTAAACCTGCAGTCTGGGAACATGACAAATGGTCCAGCTTAGACGTGAGAAATGCATGAATCATTTTTCTGCATCATTTTTGGACAATATGTTTCTTATTATAGTGATATTGTTCAGGCGGAGGAAAGTGGTCCTGGTAACTGTTTTAATGTGGGGGTTAAAGACATATCCTGATCAAAAATAACATCAAGGTTTTGTTACATTAGAGCTGGAGGCCAGATTAATGCTATCTAGAGGAAGTGAAGGGTTGCAAAGTTTGTTCCTAAGATTCTTAGGTCCAAAACCCACAACATCGGTCTTGTCTGAGTGTTGAAGAAAATTCAGGGTCACCCAGGTTTTTAGGTCTCTAAGACATGCTTGTAATCTATGGAATTGATTGGATTAATCATGTTTCATGGACAAATATAACAGAACATTATCAGCTTAGCAATTAAACATTATCCTATACTGTTTAATAACTTTAATAAAATAATAGTATATAAACATATGATGTAAAGGATATTGGTCCAAGTACAGAACCCTGAGGAACTCCATGACTAATGAAGAAGAAGATTCATTATTAACACAAACAAACTGATTCAGACCTTGCAGTAATCTACAGTTATGGTTGGATTAAATGTAGCATAAAATAGCAAACTGCAAATCCTTATTTGCACCTGCAGAAACCGTCCAGTCCACTGATGAATCCAGGTGTAAAATTAATGTTTGTTTCTTAAACTTACTGTTCAACAGACGAGTTTTGAAAGTCCTCCTCTGTAGTTTGACTTAATGATGTAAAAAATGATAAGAATAAATAGATTTCCTCTTTCAGGTTGTCAGGAAGTTGGCTGAAGATGAGGTCGGTTTCTAAAATAATAAAATGACGCCTTTGCGTCTCATTTTCTTTGAAACAGAGGAGAGTGTTGATCCATTTCCTGCTGATCGGCTAGAATTAACAAAAGAACTGGATTTAAAACTAAACTTGTTGTTTTGGCTGCAGATTATTTGGTAAGTGACGTCTTTACATTTATTGATTGATTGTTTTGTCTGATTTTTTAATTTTTTGGGGGGAGCAGTTATTAAGTATAATTTTAAAAGATGTATTTTTTTTTTCTTGACTTTAAGTTTATTTCGGAGCAACTCTGTAATATTCCTCATTTCTAACACGATAAATTCTTTGTGTGTTTGAGTGACTTTGAAGACGCCAGTGAAAATTATATATAAGTCATCCAACATATATAATTTTATTAAAATACTGCAACACACCATTGTTTTCCTCTAGTCTCCAGAGTGATGATGAAGAGTGTGATGGC